TAACTATTTGAATCAGTTTTGGAATTGTTGTCGATTTTTCCTCCAAGACAAAGTTCCTAATTTTATTCTTCTCCCCAAACTCAATATCCTCAAAGAACATAGCAGTTCTCATCTCAAAAATTGTCTTTAATGTGGGATCATAAAATTTATATCCCCTGAATCTTTCAGTATAACCAATAAAATAACTACTTACTGTTCGGAAGTTCAATTTCTTTTCATTTGGCTTATATAGCCTTGCCTCAGCTGGACAACCCCACATATGGAAATGTTTCAGACTAGGTTGTCACCCAGTCCAAAGCTCATAAGGTGTTTTGATAGCTGCTTTAGTTGGTACTCTATTTAGAATATAAGTTGTTGTAAGACGTCTATAGCTCTATATACACCTAATCTCTTCGCTCTGGTATGTTTGCCCTTAATGCATTCAACTCTATAAGGTGTTTTGATAGCTGCTTTAGTTGGTACTCTATTTAGAATATAAGTTGTTGTAAGACGTCTATAGCTCTATATACACCTAATCTCTTCGCTCTGGTATGTTTGCCCTTAATGCATTCAACTCTATTTTTAGGGATGTGACCTAAGCGCTTGTGCCATAATGCTACTGAGTGAGTATCGTCAATTTTATTTTTAGTACCTCGTGATTTTGTATTAAAGGTTTCATTATAGGTGGCCACAATATCAAGTAAATACAGATTACCACAAGCCAAAAGTGAACCAGTTCCAACAATATCTGAATTAAAAGACAAATTGAACTTATTGTTTCCAAATTAACAGAAATAACCTAATTTGTCCAAATAAGAAACTGAAACCAAATTCCATCTAAATGATGGCATAAAAAAAGTGTCTTTCAAATCCAAATAAAAATCAGTACTCAATAACAATTTAAAATGCCCTATAGCTTCCACCTCTACCAATTTGTCATCTCCAACATATATCCATCTTTCAAAATCAATTGGCTTCCAGTAGCTTAGGCAACCATTCATAGAAATACTGATGTTAGTAGTTGCACCTGAATCTAACCACCAAGCGTTACTAGGTACTGACTCTAAATTGACTTCAGAACAGACCAAAGTAGGAAACATACTTTTGAGGATCATAACAGAATTTAAATTGGCAGATACAGAAGCAATTATAGCTAAATTAAGAACAAAAGAAATAAACTAATTATTTTCACATTATAAAAATAAATAATTATAAATATATATATTCAAATAATGGTTTAACCCATCTCAAGACACCCAATGCACCATCAATATCAAGTCTTTGGACAGGTAATATTAACTGCTAGTGGTATCTTGTTGTAATGATCAAACATTGACAATAAAGCACGTCCAACAACAAACCAGTCTTTGGATTGATTTATCATCGACAAAGAAAATCCTTATAATTATCACCTGTTTATCATTACAAGTCTGTATGCAATTCGGCCAAATATTAATCTTACTTTGGGTCGACTAATACTCGCATAAATATACACAAACACTAACATTCAATATTTTTCACAAACTACCAATTCAAGAGAGGTTACTTTGATGAGTTCTTGACTCAATTTGCTCACAAAAAATATTAAACTACCAAAAAATTGAATATTTTATTTATATAACAAAACCAAATATTTAAGATTTATTTATTTAGAGTTAACAACATAAACTAATTCAAAAGACAATCACTTCATTAGAATCCCACTAAGGATGAACACCTCCCTATAATCACACTAGGGATGAAATAGAGATAGTTTCGACCCTCTTTAACACATTGCTCAATAAACAATGCAACCACCTAAACCCTAAAAGGGAATTAAACAGTAATCACTCAAACCCTAAATAGGGAATTTAACATCGACTTCTCTAAACCCCCAGAGGATAAAGGAAATAAAATAAGAACAGTCACCTCTATGAAAACATTCACCAGTTGCCTAAGATCCTCTGTGTTGGGGACTCCCCCAAACATCACCCCCAATTCCAAGCCCATCCATATCCACCATGAAAAGAAAGAGGAAACAAAACCCAAAAAAAAAAAAAAAAAAAAAGCAAAAACAAAAGATTCAAAGAGAACAGAAAACTCAATACAAGAAAGATTGAAACTTGAAACACTATTTCTTTCTCAGTAAAACTTGAAAATTAAACCGAAATAAAAGGGAAAAAATGAAGAAGAAGAAGAAGAAGAAGAAGAATTCATAGTTTCCTTTGCTACGATGATGAAATTTTATCTCTTTATGATGAAATTGATTGGGTTTTAAGAAACCCTGAATTAGCTAATTTGGGGATCGCATAACGCAGTGGATTAGTGCGTTCGGATAAAAATTGGGGTCTCTTTCACGGTTTCATCAGTGAGCATAATTAGATTAGGGATGTTACCCCTAAATTTAAATTTTAGGGTTCACAAAAATTGGGATTTTATAAATTAAACAGAATCTGAATTTTTAAATATTTCCTAAGATAGACATGAATCAAGTATGAGATGGTCTGATATCAATTGTTAGAAAACTTATAATTATGATCCTGATTTTGATTCTAATGATCAAACATAAACATTATCTCATACTCATAAACATATTGTAGACTGAATGCGAAAGTGTACCTGAATTAGCCATAATGATGATTGCCCTTTTAGAGCACTATTGATCTTATGATCTTCCACCTGAAGAACACCTTTATTTTCCCTCTGGATTTTCTCTCTTAATGGGGATAGAAAGAAAGGAACGGAAACTGAGATTTACGTTCTGTGTGTGTGCTCCCAGAAGGGGACCATAACCCATTAAATAACTAGAATTAGGTTAATTACTTAAGTTTTAGTATTTCTAATTTGGCTCTTCATCAAATTAGAAATTACTCTATGATCTCTACACAATTTTATTTTCATGACATATGTCTTTAACCAAAATTTTAATTTAGTCGGACCAATTTATTATTTGGCTTAATAAATAATGACCCTAATACATTTAAATTATGTATTTTATATATACATGACCCAAAATTTGCCAACATTAACATGATATTTGAATATGTTCTTGAATTAAAAATAATTTTATTTTATAGTTTGATTTTTGTTTAGATTCAATTATTATAATTTCATCACTTCCCATTAAACTTGAGTTTAATTGTTTAAATAAATGTTAAAGATTACACTGAAATAAGTGGAGAAAAGTATCATTTCATCATTTGGCACTAGACATGAATTTAATTTCGAAACAAGTGTAAAAGTTTGTGATGGACAATATGAATAAGATAAAAGCAAAATCAAAATAAATAAATCAAGAAATAGATAAAGTGTAAATATTAAGGAAGAATTGAAATAAAAATAGAAATAAACAAAGAAAAGTGAAAAGATTGAAGATTTATAGATTATGGATGAGTTACACCACTTGAAGAAGACTTCTTCAAGATAAATGGTGAAAAATCACCACTTGATTCATAGAAATCAAGATAAGATTTAAATAACAAGAAAGTATTAATATAAGTTTTTCTCTCTAAAACTCAACTTTTTTTATATGATACAAAGTGATATTTCTTGAGAGGTGGTACTTATTTTTATCCACAAATCCTAATCCTAATGAAACAAATGGAGAGAAATTCAAATTTAAATGAAACTAAGAAAGAGAAATTCAAATTCAAATTTAAATTTAATATTGGTTCCAAAATATGTATTACGTAGGATAAGTGTAATCTAATCTATACTTGATTAATGTTTTTCTTACCCATACCTCTCTTACTTATTTAACGTGTTCTTTATTTCTTTTTTATTTTTTTTTGTCATGATTGACTAAAATAGAAATAGAATGTAATTAAAATCTAAAGTTGCTTTTTCTCTTATTTTTTTATATTAGTCAAAGATGTCTATCTCTTATTAGATCCTAATAAAGTCACAAATATATCCTATTCATGCAATTAAACCTATATTACAAATAAAGAAAAAAATCCTAATTACCGTACAATAAAATATACTTTTTCAAAACAAGAGAATATTTTTTTTGTCATGACTGAAATTATCCCTAATTAGATTAGAAATGTGAATGTAAATGATATATTGAAAACTTTGTCTTCACCTCATCATGTTTTATTGAATCTTAAAAATAATTAATTATTATTAATTCATGATATATAATAAAAAAATCATTATGGAATAACACAAGTCAAATAAAAAATATTTCATAAATCAATCTACATATAATAAAATTCAAAATATATGTTTATAAAATCTCTTATGTAAACTCTATTCAATAGTTTTTTTTTTAATCTTTAAAGGTAATACAAAATAAAATTAGGAACTTTTTCTATAAGTGATAGAATCTCATGCATTTAGATATTAAGTTCTCTCATAAAAAAATATATTTAATTGTTTAAATTATAATAGATTTTAATAATTAATTGGTATATTTTCTCTACGATAGACTTGTATTAATTGCATTATACTTATCATATATAAACGAATTGTTTGTCTAATGTTGTTCAAATATCTCTATCAAGTAGGTCATGGTTTCATACTTTTATTGGACAAAATATTTTCCAATTTATCTAAATTTTATTCTAATTTCAAAACATAATTTAAAAAATAATCTAGTCCATAAAAAAAATGCTTAATTTTAAAAAATAATTCAACGTTTTGTATTAAATCCGACCAATCAGCGTGTTGATCTGAGTTATGTACGGATCCGGTTTTGTTGTGTTTGTTGAGGGTTGGTCATCACCGATCAAACTGGTGAACTGGCCGCCATTTATATTATTATTAAAAAATAATGAATATTTTAGAGTGACAAATAATTTTTTAGATAAAAATAAATATAGGAAAAAATTAATAAATAAATTGAGATTAATAAAACCAAAAGAGGTAATAAAACCAAAAGAGGTGATAAATAATAAATAAATAGTTATCGAGTGTGACGAAAAACTCAGGCACCGTTCTTCTTCTCCATCACGTTTGTGTCTTCCCTTTCTTCCTCTCTATCTGAAGGAAGAAGAGAGAGAATTATCCTTTCGGATCGAAATCTTGCGTTGTTGATCGAAATGGATCAGATATTCAACAAGGTCGGAACCTTTTGGTTCAACCAGAAAGCCACCAACCAGCTCAATTCTGTTGGTGACGACATCAATGTACCATCCCTCTCCTCCCCTTTTCCTTTTTCTTTCAAAATTTCGCTTTTTTTTCATCATGGCCAAATGGGAATTTCTTAAATTTGAGTATATAAAAAATTGTTGTTGTTGATTTTTTATGTGATACTCCCACGATCTGGAAAAGAAAATGTGAATATATTAGGATTTTAGATTGGTGCATGGCATCCTATGGAACTTGGAACCATTCTGTTAGGTTACATTTGATCAATTTTTGTTGGGTATGAGTTTTAATAATTACAGTGGGAAATTGAAGGTGTGGTGGGGTATTGGTTTTTTAAATGATGACTGGATCATTTCCGCCTAGGAATATAGAGTTTGAATGCTTAGGAAAGAAATTTTGTGTTGAGAATGAACAAGGGAAGGTGGAAAAGCTTTTATTTGGTTGTATAAGGCGATACAATTTTGTGAGAACATGTTTCAAGGATCAATTTAAGATGCAGAGAGATGAGCCATGTAAAACAATGCTCTTACTTTGATTGATCATGCTAAGTAGTGTCACATTATAGCCTAAACTCTAACAGATTTATGGTAATTAACTGAGCATTTGGTTAAAGTGAGTTTTAACTGTCATCTGCTTGAATGATTTTAACACAATAAATTCTAAGGCGTTGGCTGATTAATGCCTTAATGGTTGTTGACTAAGCATCTATTTATTCGTGCTTCGGGTATAGAAGATGTGTTTGAGATGAATAGTGGGGAAAGGTGCAAGAATTAAGTGTTTAAGCTCGATTAACATGCTGATAAATTGAAAGAAATTAGATGATCCATCATCATCTCTGCTACAAATCTCATCTTGCTATAAGAAATAATGTGCCCTCTCATATGTTGGATTGTGAATGTAAATGTTTCTGCTAGACAATGACAAATGTTTGTGAAGAATTATCATTGCTTGATTAATTTCTTTATTGATAAATTCTCTTTTGATGGTCAGTCAATATCAAACAGTATTGAAGGGGGGACCAAATGGTTGGTCAACAAAATAAAAGGTTTGTATTCTTATTTCTATTGGTTACTCAAACATTCATCCTCAATTCTTGCTGTAAAACCAATGCAATCTTTAGGATTTCATTTTGTTTATCCTTGTTATTACCGTCAATCTATTCTTTTATTATGTGGATACTGAAATCAATGTTTTATCTATATCTATATCGTGTCTCTGAAATGGAAGACAGAGAACTGAAGCTGTAATGGGTAAGACAGTGTACCCAAGAGACCCTGCACACCCCATGTCACTCTTAACCTCATATTTTTCACCTCTCCTTTTTATATTCATACTAGTCATTTTTTAGCTCCAGCTGTGTTGAGCGCCTTTCACTTAGATTAATAGTTTTTTCCAATATGCTGCATTAACCTTTCCTTCTATAATTTCTGTTATATGGTCTCTAACTTTTCTTCTATAATCTTGATAACAGAAATTATCTAAAACTGTTTGACATTAATGATGTTAAACCACCAATACTTCTGCTTTATGTCTCCTCGTCATGAATATTTAATTACTCATGCACATGATTTAAAATATCATGGTTCTATTTGACATATCATGTTAGTATTTGACAAAGTAGCGACAGATATCTTTCTTCCTTGAAAGCCACTTAAAAATATCATAATGTCATTGTTGTAATTGTACTTGTACAATTTTAATTTGGAAATTTACAATCCATCAAAATTGAATTTTTATTTGAACGCGGTAATTCAGGTTGCATACAATCTTTCTATCTTATCATTATTTCATAACTCGAAGAATGGTATGCTTATATTGAGTCTCAATGCATTACTAATTATTTATGGGGTGTTTGGGTCTGCCATCCCACTTTCATGGACTTTGAAACCATGCCAAACCCTTATCAACCCTTTTCCACATTTATTTACTTTTATCATACTTGGAAAGCTAATCAAATGAGAATGTCATCCTTCATATCCCCTGTTTTTATTTTAATTGACATTACTTTTGAGCTCACAGAAATCACTTTTGCAGGAAAGATGCAGAAGCCATTACCAGAGTTGCTAAAGGAGTATGATCTACCAGTAGGAATCTTTCCACGTGATGCAACAAACTATGAATTAAATGAAGAGACTGGGAAGCTTATTGTTTACATTCCTCAATTTTGTGACGTAGGCTACAAGGATTCATCAGTCTTTCGTTTCTTCACCACTGTGACCGGTTATCTGGAGAAAGGAAAGCTATCAGAGATAGAAGGAATAAAGACAAAAATATTGATCTGGATGAAAGTGACAACCATTTCAACGGATGGATCGAAGCTCTATGTGACAGCTGGAATGAAGAAAACAAGGAGTAGGGATGCATATGAGGTTTCAAGAGATGGTATATGCATAGATAAGTTCTAAAGCCCTTGTGTCTGCTCTTGTGGATCATTTTTATCTCGTTTCATGTGATTGGTTATTGTAATTTGTAAGTAGTGTTCAAATTTGCACTTCAAATATTGCTCTTTGACTTGAATGTTGCAATTTGGTGAAAGTGAAAAAAATGCCTCTTTGGTCCTTCATGATATATATAGGGTATGTTTGGGATCTTCAATGACCATTCAAAAAGTAAATTTAAAATAGCCTTTTTCTTTGAATTTCAGTTGAGTCCAATTGTAAATTGAGTTGTCTTAATTTAAAAACTCAAAATTGAATTGGAAGGAGAGGGAGTGTTGCTTTGCGAACTCAACATGGAAACTGATCAGAGAATACCAGCTTTCAGCACCAGATTGCTAATTAACGCACAGATTCAAAATCAACGATCCTAAAATGTACTAGTAGGATACTTTCTGGTTAGTTTTTGTCACTGTTGTGAAAGAGAAAGTCCAAAAGAACAATTATATTAGTATTCTGTTGGCCAATATATTAGTACTAACAGATTTATCAAAACTATTTGGTTCATTAATAACGTGGAAGAATCTAAATATGAAAACTAGATGTTAAGGGGTGAGTAATGGAGAGTTTCTAGCACAAATGGAATATGAGCAGTGCTGACTACAGCTCCACAAGTCTACAACTATTTGATTATACAGATTGTTTTTGTTAATTAGGAACTGTTTAGAAGAAGTTTGACTTAAATAAGTTTAAGCTCTCAGCTAATATACATATTTCTACTTTTAGTATCTGTAAAAATATAATTGTAGTAAATCTCTGTAATATATTTATCATCACTTATTTTGATCTCCATCCAACACCTGTGTTTTATGTTTTTGCGCATATAACAATTTTGATTTTACTTACATAAATCTTATACTCACAACTTAATGAATCAACTCTGGTTGATCTTCAAATGTGTTTGATTAAACTACTTACACAGATGCAACTTTAGTCTATGCTAGACGCTTAACATCAAATGGAAGTAATTAACTCTGTACATAATATCAGTATATAAATTAAAAATCAGATTATAAAAAAGTTCTATAAAACAAAATTCTACATCAATGAATAAACTATTTTCTCATATAGAAATTTATTCAAACAAGTCCATAATTATCTACAACTTCAGTAATTCCAATAAACCTTGAGATATATACGCAAGAAATTTGCGAGTTACGTGCCATCCACAAGCCCCAAGCCTCAGATTTGTCTGGTAGCAAGCAATCTAAGAACAGTTGTTATAAATTTTCAAGTATGTGTGTTGGCCATTGGTGTAAAAAACAATGCTGAGTTGTTTTTCACAACATGTGGTCCTGATCACATGCTATTCATGCAAAGTTTCAAAGGCCAGAAGGCTTGTCCAAGCATTATCCAATGACATTGAAATGACAATGAACTGATTTGATATTTATAGGAAAGAAATAGGTACCAAATTTTAACAGAAGTGACTGGCTTCCTTAACCAATCACAGATGGTATAATTAAGATATTTTCTTATTAATTTATTCTATTTGTTATAAAATAAATAGAGATGAAACAAATATGTTATGTTTATTCCATCAATTCATTTTTAAGTTTATAATTTTAGACCGTTGTTACTTAGATTTGTTTTATGTAATCCATTAATTCGATAGACTAAAAATAAGTTGGAGTAAGTTGATATATTTTTTTGAAAGATATTTATATATAAAAATAAAAATAAAATAGATTATATTATTTTTATTATATTATTAAAATATATAAATATATTATGATATTAGAATTTAAATCATAAATATTGTAATTAAATATTTTTATATGTAAATATATTAATTTATCTAACAAAACATATTAATTTATAAATAAATTTTTAAAAAATATTTATATAATTAAGAACGTTTTTTAAAATATATAAAACTTATATATATATATATATATATATATATATATATATATATATATATATTAGTGACAGATCATTACTACACTCATCACTCTTTGACAAATAGTTGATTATAATGGGTTAGTATGTCTTGCTTAATTTTTAACAGGTAAAAACCAAAATAAATATATCTATTTTAACATAAACATAAAACAAAGGATGTATATTATGGATTATCCTATTCATTATACTCATTTGATATTTTAAGATTTTTTTATTTAATTAGACAGACATATTTTTAAAAGAAAAAATAGTGTTTATCCAAAATGATACTAGATTTTTATTTGACTTGGTATAAGATAATTTTTCTCTTTAGAATTGTTAGTGTTATAGTCTCTTTATTGGAATAAGTGTGTTATATCTTATGAACTTTGACATTATAATATTTTGTCTCAAACCAATTTTGTTCGTGATTTAATAAGTTTTAAACTTGTAGATATATCTTAATTTATAATTATTACATTCAAAATTAATTGTGATTCGGTTTTAATCATAATTATAATAAAAATCACCTCCATAACCATCATTGCAAATACCATCTCTATCTCTCTTTTGTTGAGAATATGGATTTCAATTTTCTTTCCAAATTATCCTTTCTTATTCCAAAGTTTCACCCTTATCTCTTTCAAACGTTATGGGTGGTGGTGATGTTAAGAAAAGACTAACCTTTGCTTCTTTTATGAAATTCTAATAAGGGTGGTGGTAAAAAGTAAATTGAAATTTCCAAAATACCCCTATCCACTACTACTTATATCAACCTTGTCCTTCCTCTTTGCTTCATACACCCAATCATAGCCACCATTGAAATTACCTTCTCTATCTCTCTTTTGTTGAGGAAATACCCATTTCAATTTTCTTCTTGAATGGCTATTTCTTGTTCCAAAGTTTCTCCCTTTTCTCTCTCAAACGCTGTGGGGCTAGTGATGCCCAGAAAATATGACATTTTTTTTCATAAGGGTGATAGTCCAAAATAAATTAAAATTCCTAAAATACATTTATCTACCACTGCTTAATTTATATTATATTATTTAATTTGCATGTTTTTAATAATTAATGTGATATTATTATTATTTTATATTTATTATATTATTTCAACAATATTTATAATTTTAATATCTTTAATTTTTATATTTTTCACTTAAATTATCAAATCCTCGCTTCAAAGACAATCACTTAAGTTATATAGTTATTGTTTAAAACAATTTTTGCTTAAATAAAATAAAGATAGCTTAAACAACATTCGTTTAAGCATCTCATCATACGTTTAAGTGACTGGTGTTTGAACATAAAAATATTGTAAATACATTATTTACACAGAAAACACGTTCATTTAAGTATAACTTATTATTATTTGTTTAAGTGACTTTCACTTAATAAAATAATTTAAGTAAAAATCACTTAAGCAATCACATAATTCTTAATCAGTGCACACTTAAATGATCTACAACATACTTAAAATAAATAAGAACTGAAAATATAAATCTACTTGAATTCAAGCTTAAGTGAATTTTACTTGAATATTTGCTTGAACAACTTACATTTTAAACAACTGGATCTCATTTAAACCATTACGAAGAATATTTATGACGTATTTAAATAAATGTGTGATATAATTTATGTGGTTACAATTTATGATGGTGATTAATTTGTTGTAAAAAATTTTGTAACAAATTTATCATAATCATATATATTTTGTCACAAATTTATTTTGTAACAATATTCATGTAATTATGTAAAAATTGTTTTTGTCATAATTTTTTTTATAATTTATAATGATAAATGATGGCACATGTTAGATTAAACATGATTATTTCTAAAAAAATAAAAATAAAATACTAATAAAATAAAACGAAATCATAAAAATATATTAAAAATTACTTTCAGGTTTCGAATTAATGATAATAGCAAATAAAGTCATTCAAGACATTGATGAATCAACGGTTGTTATGTGTTGGGTGAACTTTGGAAAAACTTTTATATATATATATATATATATATATATATATATATATATATATATATATATAACTTAATTTAATTCTTTAATAAAAGAAGGAATAGAAATAATGATATAAGTAAACCCTAGCACGTGTCCTTGTTCAACCGAGACCCCATTTCACGACAACATTCCAATCTTATCTCAAAACTCGATTATGTGGTGCTTATAACATTTTATACTCATCACTTCATCATGTGAATCTACAGAAAGAGAGGTTTTGAAATGGTCAATGAATCCCATCCAACTTAGTTTCTTATTTCAGATTGATCTCCTCAATTTGGAAAATTTTAACATCATTTTTTAGGGTATCTCTTTCAAGCAAATTGCTCCATCCAAGTTCCATCATTATTACAATAAAATGATTAATTTAGCAACATGTAATCAATTTTAAGAAAACTGAGATGAACTATCATTTCATCAACTAAAATTGACACTCTTAATATAAAAACCTAACAGAAAACAAAAAATCAATTAAAATGGGATTTTATGAAATCAAACTTAAAATAAAAAGTTTAAATAAGAGTTAAAAGTTATATTTTATTTTTCTTAAAATAACCTTTAAAGTCTATTATGAATTTAGTGTTTTGAAATTTTATGCCTAAAGTGGAATACTGATAAATTTAACGTATTGTTGTACAAATATATTATTATTATTATTATTATTATTATTATTATTATTATATTATTTGTATGGTTAATTAGGGCTTTAATTGATTTAGTTTCTGCACATTGTACTATATTCATGACTGGAGATTTTATCCGACAAGATCTTGAGTATATATATATATATATATATATATATATATATATATATATATATATATATATATATATATATATATATATATATATATAATCGATTATGAATTAGATACTAAAAAATAAAAATGAAGAAATAAGAAAGAAAAATAATAATAATAATAACATATATGTGATAATACAGAAATAATAATTTATATATAATTATATAGATCTAGATAAATGTCTTAAAATATATTTAGTTTAAAAAATTTAAAAATAAGTTAGATTAAAAAATTTGTAATTTAAATTGAATTAGATTTATTTTAATCTGATTTATAGATTATAATTTATATAGAATATTAATTTTATAAAATAATAATTATTTTAAATAAAAATAATATTATTGATTAATATATATATATATATATATTATAAATTAATTTGATAAAAATTTACTTATAAAAATAAATATTATAATAAATATCTAGTAATAACTTATTCAAGGTTTAAAATTAAGATTAATTATTATTATAAATAAATAAATTATTAAAAATAAATAATATATATATATATACATATATATATATATATATATATATATATATATATATATATATAATCGATTATGAATTAGATACTAAAAAAATAAAAATGAAGAAATAAGAAATAAAAATAATAATAATAACATATATGTGTATAATACAGAAATAATAATTTATATATAATTATTTAGGTTTAGATAAAGGTCTTAAAATAACTTTAGTTTAAAAGATTTAAAAAATAAGTTAGATTAAAAAATTTGTAATTTAAATTGAATTAGATTTATTTTAATCCAGATAATAATTAATATAGACTAATCAATTTTAAAAATATTTATAATAGTCACAATTTTTATTATAAATTATTTATAAATGTTAAGTTGCATTTGACATTTTTAGTGTTTGAATTATTTAATGTGTTATTTTTAATTGAATAATCACTTTTTTTTAAGTTAACATTATAAATGACAATATGTGATAGAAAGTTAATCTATGTAGTAAATAAACAAAATAATTAAGTATGTTAATATGTTTAAAGATATTAATAAATATTTCTTCTTATAAATAAAATGTAGAAGTTGTTAAGTCAATTTAAGTCTAGAGATGAAATACAATTTGATAGTTCAATAAGTTATTTAATGAACTATACTTGATGTAACTCCTATGATAGTCTAATATAAATTATTTAATGAAATGTAATTGGTGTAATTTTATATGATGAATTAGACAGTCTATTTTAGATATTAGTTGATATATTTGGTTTGATGTCACTGTTTTATTTGATATCACTAGTTGATTTTATGTTTGTTAGTTGGTTTGATAATTAGTATAAAATAAATAAAAGATGATGTTTTTCAATGACGTTTATGTATGAACCATTATTAAAAAAGACGTGGTAATAATTTTGAAATTATTTTTAACTTTTTAACGACAATTTATTTATAACCATCATCATATATGATATACAATAATGACTATAAATAAAACTCGACATTGTATATGACATAGACAAATATTCTTAGGAGATGAGGGGGTCAATGCTCTCATCCCAAAGTTTTATAACTTACATTAATATTTATGATTTTTGTCTTTTATTATTCTCAAAGTTTTGTAATTTTCATTAGCATTTATGATTTTAACCCCTTTAAAACTTAATAATTATTAAATATACATAATTGTATATTTACAAATTTAATCTCTCACCCTTTTATATTCTTTTATCTTTCATATTTATTTATTATTTATTAATAATATATTATTTGATCTCCTCAAAATTAATGGTTAAGATATGTTACTGCATACTACAATGGTTTAAAATGAACCATTGTTATATGTGCAAAACACTAACATATAACAACTGTTATATTTATAATTATCGTCATATGTCTAACTTTTTAATAATCATTCTTTTATAATTTTGTTATATCTCACATATGACGACGGTTATAGAAGAAGCGTCGTCTTATGTCACATTTGATGACAGTTATATATAGAACCATCGTCGTATGTGTCATTACAATTTTCAACTTTGACCATTCTGTTCATTTCATCTTTGTGTTTTCACTTCTCTTTTTTTTTTTCTCTTTTCCTCCTCTGTTTCAGCTTTTCTCTTCCTTTGTTCGGTGTGATTAATTTGTTTTCTTCTTCTTCTCCTTCTTTCTTTCTTTCTCAAAGTGTTTCTCTCCACTATTCATCGTAAATGTCTCCAATACATCTAAAGTTGTTATAAAGGAGAATAAAAGTGAAAGACAATATTTTGTTGAGACAGAGGTAGATGAAAAATATTCTACTAGATACGTTGAAGCTAAGTTAGTAGAGTAATAATGAGAAGGTGGAGAAAACTTACAAATTTATTACGATGGAGCAACAAGAGAGTAATGAAAGCTTCCGTTGTGGAAGAGCAACAATGAGGGAACATAATTGTCATGACGAAGCTTTTAGGTTTGTTATATTGCTTATTTGATTGTTGTGGTGCTTATAAGTTTGCTGTTTGTTGTGTCGAAGTAGCTTCTAAGTTTGCTATTTGTTGTGGCAGAACTTCTAAGTTTGTTGTGATCGAGCAAAATAGAGTTTTTAATATATGACAACAGTTATAAATATAATAGTCGTCGTATGGATAATCTACGATAACTATTCAAAATCATCGTTAATTTATTAATTTTTAACAATAATTGAAACAACCACCATTCAAAAATTATTGTTATATTATTGTTATATTAGAAGCTCATTTTATAAGTTTTCTACTATTAGTAACTCATCTTATTGATGGTTTGCTCAGCTTAGAACTAAAGAGGTGTAATAATTGATTACAAGACTAGTAAAAAAATATGAGCCATGATTAGTTGGGTGTTACCACCACGCAAACAGGGCATCATCACATATTCATCTTTCCCTTATAGTTTATATAAGCCTTATTCTATTCATTTTATAAGATAATTTTGATTTTGTAACTGAAGCTAAAGTGTGTTTCTCTCAACTTGTGAGTTCTCCAAAGATATTTTCCTTTCTAATAAGATCTTATCTAGGTTTTTCTATAAATCAAATGATGATTAACTACTACACATATCTTTTTTAGGAAACTAACCTTATTAATGTGTTTTTTTTTTTCTTTTTCATTCATCTTTTGTTTTCAAACTTTTTATTAAATTATTCTTGATTTCCAATTATAATCGTAAAATTCTTAAATTTAAAAATCAACTTTCATTGATCAAAATACTCATTATTGAATTATAATAATGAATTGCAATATTTAATCAAATCAATTTTTGAATAAACTATTAATTACAATTTGGTGAAGTTTTTTTAGCAAATAGTCATAACCTGTGTAGAAAGATATAAAGTCGTATTTTTCCTTTGTCTCTTATATTTTGATAATTTTATTCCATGTTGTTATGTTCCTCTTTTTTACATTTAAAATAAGTCAAATTAGATGGGAATATTAAGATTTTTCACCCTTGTATCTCTTTATGAAACGAATTTATGTTTTTGTTTGTCTTCTTTTAGAATCTTCTAAACTTCTTTTTTAGTAAGGATAATTTTATACTGTTACTTTATAGATTTCTCTTCACCTTATTTTCCCTTTTGAGTGGTTGATTGTAATATCAATTTGTTCTTTTTCTTATAACTCACCTCTTCTTCACCAAATTTATTCATTTTTAACTCATGTTCTCTTAGCTAGTCAAACAAAAATACTAACAGTTAAACAAATATTTTGACTAAAAGATTATAATAACTTTCGGTTTTGGAAATCTATCCAAACATTTGAAGAGTTTTACATTCATCTATTATTTCTTAAATTACTTACTTGGCTCCATGAAATAATTAATGAAATGTGTAAATGTTTTTTAGACATCTAAAATAGATTCTTCTTAGTGTATATTATGAAAATTTCATATTCTTATACATCTCATCCTCTCTTAACATCTATTATATCTTCCAACATATTTTACATATCTTTTATGATTCATAATTTTATTTTATTTTTCAATATTGCTACAGATCATTAAAAAAATAAAGTTATATTTGTTTTCATATTTAGTAAAAAATAAAAAATACCATTAGATATTAAATTTAAGTATAAAAATTACAATTATATATTTTTATAAGTTATATGACAAATTAATTAATTTTTAAGTAAAAGATATAAATTAATATGTATATAAAACAGAAAATATGACAAATTAATATATATATATATATATATATATATAACAGAAAATATGTAACCCTATTTATGTATACCATGTTAAAAATTACTTTGAAATTATATATGATGTAATGATATATTTAAATACACGTAATATTTTAAAGAATAAAGACTATTTTTTAACATTTATAAAAATTAAAATTCATAATTTAAAAATAATTAAATTTATAATTTGTTTGATAAAATGAATTATCAGGTCTTTTTTGTACACACGTTAGGAAACTCCAATCCTATAAAATATTAACTTATCTTAATATAAAACTCTAGAAAACATGAAGAAAAATAAGTAATTGAATAAGGACAAAAATAGTTAAAAAAACTCTGGTATCTCGTATTTATTATAGAAAAAAAAGAATAGTAAAAGTTTTTTTTTTTAATTTTGCGTGAAAGAAAAGAAAGTAAAAAATAAAATAAAAATGAAAGATAGAGAGTAGGAAGAAGAATGCGACAAAATTCTGAAACACCTCAATTCATTGAAACGCTCTAAGCGCGAGTACCGCGTCGTTGACGTATTCGAGCGAGTAGGCTCAGATTTCGATCGATGCTGATTGTGACGTGGACCGGATATTTCCACAGATTCCACTTTCACACTGGATAGGCCACGAGCTCGCCACACGCCCGTACTCAGACCAAATCTCAGCCCTCCACTTGTCGACCAATCCAACGCTCCAAAATAATTTCAAATTCCAAAAATATCCCTGTAAACCACTACTTATGTCACCTTACCCCTTCCTCCTTCCTTCACACAGAATCACTTCACACAGAATCACATTGCAGTTACCTTCTCCATCTTTTTTTTTTCTTTTGTTCGGAACCTATTTCGATTTTCTTCTCAAATGGCTCTTTCTTATTCCAAAATTTCCCCCTTTTCTCTCGCAAATGATGTGGGTGGTGGCGATGCTAAGAAAAAAATAACCTTTTCTTCTTCTTCTCTGGGTATTTCTAAGGGTGGTGGTAGAAGCAGGGACATGAGGGTGTGTGCTGTTGCTTCAAACGCACCAGCACCACTCACTGGGGTGATATTGGAACCCTTTCAGGAGCTGAAGAAGGATTATCTTGCTGTTCCGATTGCACACAATGTCTCCTTGGCTCGGCAAAACTATGCAGATGAGTGTGAAGCTGCAATCAATGAACAGATCAAGTATGATTCTTTTCATTCTTTAACATTCATTACTTTTTGTTGTTTATTATTTCATTTTGTGGTTTCTTGGTTGGAATATGTGAGAGATAAAGATCCATTGTTTCACACTTGAGAATGGAAATATTTAATGTATTTCTAGTTTGTTTTTTTTTTTTTTTTTTTTTTTTAATTTTAATATAAACATTAAACAAACTTTGATGAACATATATTCATCATTTTTTTTCATTTAGGCTTGATTTCATAGTCTATTTTCATGTATTTATTTTTTTAATTATAAGTTTTTTAGCTAATAGTCTTTTGTCTCTCAAATCTGGATACAGTGTGGAATACAACGTTTCCTATGTGTATCATTCCTTGTTTGCTTACTTCGACAGAGACAACATAGCTCTCAAGGGACTTGCCAAGTAATTAACTCCAAACCCGTTTCATTTCTATCTTGTTATTTAGTCTTTTTCCCAAAAGGGTTTTTAAATTTCGTGTGCTGTGATGTGGGGAACAGGTTCTTCAAGGAATCAAGTGAAGAAGAAAGAGAGCATGCTGAAAAGCTTATAAAGTATCAGGTTGGCGTGTTACTTTTTAAAAATAATTATTACTGTAGTAAATACTTTTAAACTAGTTCTTTCAATAATCATTTTTATCATTCATGAAAAACTGATTTATGATTTGATTACAGTTTAAGGATTTGTTGGTAGAGCTAGTCCTTATGATATATGAACTAACAAGGTCTAACACATTTAGCAGTTAAGTTGGGTTTTTTAAGCATATTGGGTTTTAATTCAAGATTATGTGTATGAAAGAAAACTGGTAGAGAAGTAATATTCATTACAGTTGGAAGATAATTGGGTTTCTTTTTATTTCTAAAGCTTTTCGGGATTTGATTCTTCATTATGTATATGAGATTGACTTTGTCAGAGAGGAGAACTAATAACCACACCAACAATCTTTATATTACCATTTGAAAAATATATGTAGTTTAGACTTAATGAGATGCATAACTCTTATTTGTGTAGAACGTTCGTGGTGGACGAGTGGTGCTGCATCCCATCACAAATCCTCCCTCAGAATTTGAGCATTCGGAAAAAGGGGATGCCTTGTATGGTGAGTTTTCTGATCTTGTTATTGATTGATGTTTTCTGGTTGCATCTTCACACACAAGTGTTGTAAAGTTGTGCTAGCTACACGATTTCATTTATAGATATATGTAGTTCTATGCTAATATGTTTTTCCATTTTTGTTTCCTTGGCTTGACTCAGCCATGGAACTAGCTTTGTCTTTGGAGAAGTTGACAAATGAGAAACTCCTTCATGTTCACAGTGTAATAACTCTTTGCCTCTGGCTTTGGAAAGAATGTGCTTGTAAAGAAATCGCTAATTAACAGTAGTTCATACGGCTAAATGCCTTGTTTAATAATCTCCCATTTTTTTTTTCTGAAACAATTTAGGTGGCAGACCGTAACAATGATCCTCAACTAGCAGACTTCATTGAGAGCGAGTTTTTGTATGAGCAGGTAAACTTTGCTAAATGTTGTGCAGCTGAATTCATAGTATAAGACTGAGTATGTGGGGTTTGCAACATCTTGGTTTTCCTTTGTACAGGTTAAATCAATTAAAAAGATTGCAGAGTATGTGGCTCAACTGAGATTAGTTGGAAAGGGTCATGGTATGCAAATATGCTCTTACGCCACTAGCATATTATGCAGTTTTGTTTACTCTCTCCCTCCCTCTAATAGCATAAATGTGTTGTTGGTGGTGCTTGCAGGTGTGTGGCACTTTGATCAGAGTCTTCTTCATGATGGAGATCATGCGTAATGTTCCAAAGCCTGCTTCTCCTATGTGAAGTTTATGTGGTGTTCTATGTTTGTAGGATATTGAATAAGCGTTTCTTCTAGGTTATAACAACGTAGGATCTTTGTGTTTTATATAGTTGGTGGTAGTATTACTATTTCTGCAATCTCTCTAATGTTTGTAGCATGCAATTACTTTGCTATAGAAATAAAAAAGATGTTGGTTACTTGGACGTGAGTTCAACTGTGCTAGTAAAATTTTGAAAATATATAGTAGAAAAACTTTTTATTAGAATTTCAAATATGTATAACGAATGGGTTGAATCTATTTTTTTATAACATGTGAATGAAATTTAAGTATGTTTAGAAAAAAATTCAATGAGTATGTGAAAGAAAAATTCAATGAAGCTCCTTATATATATATATATATATATATAACCGATCACTTCCTATATTCCACTTTTTCAGAAAACTATATATAAACTCAATTAGGAAATTTATAATTTACTGAATGTAGAGTCTTTAAACATGATTGAGGTCCAAAACAAAGTTCCTCTACAAATTTTAGGACCACTTTCATGAGGAGATGGTGATTGACCTTGAATCATTTTCCACATAACTTGTATATCATCATTTTCTTCGAAAGACTCCATGTTCTTGGAAAAATCATTTTCTACAAACATGAAGCACCCTACATATTTTACCTTTGGGTTTTGCTTCTACTACCTTATCTTCATCACCAAATATTCTCATCAATTGTTATCAAATGGTTAGTTAATTGGTTCATGTTACTAATTAGGTCCTATTTTTCCAATATTTGTTACTTTTGTTTGTTCACTTACGATTTCGTTCATCTTACTCAAATCAATAATTTTTTACTTTTTACAATATCATAAAACAGGTGTTTGCGTAATTAAATAATTTTATAAAATTTCTTTTGAGAAATTTAATCACTTAAAATTATAGAATTTGAAATTCAATTTAAAAGTAAAGATTTAAAAATTTTCATTTTTTTAATAAATAGATTCAGCTTAATAAAGATTAAGAGGTTTCAGATAAACCTTAATTAAGAATTGTTGAGATGTAAACATTAATTTTAACATTGCCATCTTCAACTTAGTCAACATAGTTTAGATTAAACAATTTATTGATCCTAGGATTTTCTCAAACCAACTTCGGTAAAAATAATACCCACTAACATTTTTAATCCATATTAATAATAATTAGTTTTTGTTAACATTGTTAGGATTAATATTAATTTTTTTGACACTGTTAGGATTAATATTTTACCGATGTTAGAGTTATTCTAGGTCAAGTTTTTCATTCAATGTATGTCATTTTTATAAACATACGATTAATACTAGAGAAAAATTAAGTTAAAAATAAAGATGTTAAAGTGTTTATATATTTACGTTTTCTATATTATCAATTTATTTTAAAATATTTTTATATATTTATATTTTTTTCATTCATTATATTGCATCATATTTTTTCTCATTTTCTTTTTTAATTTTTAAATGAATAAATTATCATAATTATTTTTTTATATTATCTCTTATTTTATAAGTTATCGTATATTATATACGATATTTTTTCTCTTTTCATAAAAAAATTATAATAAATAATAATCCCTTTATATATAATATAGATTATTTTTGCGTGTGATCAGAATTTTGTTTTCATTTTATTGATTGATGAACTTTCTAACTACAGGTTTTATTTTTGTGAATGTTAATCACAAGAATTTTTTAGTTGTCGACAAAAAATTCAAGCAAAAATAATCCAGACTAATTATATTGAAAAAAAATCTTAATAATACTAATTAAAATAAACATTACCGAATTCAATTGAAAATAACTTAATAAAAAAATCATTTGATATTTATTGATATTAATCAGAAAATATTTTGTGAATTCTGTTAAAAAACAATCTCAAATAACTTATTAAATAATACTCCTGACTAATATTTTTTAATTATTAAATATTACATAATATAAAGATATTTTCTACTTAAAACCTGATTATATTAGAATAAAAATATTAATTCAGATAATATGTAGAACAATTAAATTTATCTGATAATTTATTTGATCACATTAAACTTAAGAGAGTAACAAGCTAAATTAGTTAAAATTATAAAAAAATTGTTACTAAAATTCCTAAATACTAGTTAATTTTATAATATTAAGAACTAAAATTATCATTATTTAGTAATTCCTAAATGCATTCATAAAGCAATAATAGACCCAAAAAAAATCGTTAATTCTAATATTAATTTTGAGACAACTTTGCTCAGTCATTTCAGAAAAAAATCTATGGTCAAACACCACTGAAATCAGTTAATGAAATTTAGGCAACAGTTTCATGTTGAGTAGCAAGCCTCTTTCTAGCCTCCTCAATAATAGACAACTTGATTCCACGCCCTTTGGGAAGAGAAACCCAAGGCTTAGTCCCTCTGCCAATAATGAAGACATTACCCATGCGAGTTGCAAATTCATGACCAGTTGCATCCTGAACATGGATGGTCTCAAAGCTTCCCTTGTGCTTTTCCCTGCTCTTGATGACGCCGACCCGGCCTCTGTTCCTTCCACCGGTAACCATGACCACATTCCCCACATCAAATTTGATGAAATCAGCGATCTTGTTGTTTTCCAGGTCTAGTTTGATGGTGTCATTAGCCTTGATTAGTGGGTCAGGATAGCGGATGGTGCGACCGTCGTATGTGTTCAAATAGGGTATGCCCTTTTGCCCAAATTGAACAGACCGAACCTTACAGAGCTTAAACTATAACAAGGAAAATAGGAAAAAGTGTAAAATCATAAGAATCTATAGTAAAAACTTTGAAACAAGATCGATTAAACAAGGTTGTAGTACTCAAATGCATCAACATACACCTCAAGGGACTGTAAATATTTATGTTAGGCTAACATCTACCTCTGTGCTTTTAGGAGGTCTAAAAATTAAGGAGAACCAAACAAGTTTTCAATTTATTGATTTAAAAATCCAAAATTTGTCCATCCAACCATAGACCTTCAACAGTGAGTTTATAACAATATGAATTGTTAAAACAGTGATAAGAAATACCGTAGCACAAACTTCCAACACACAAAACCAATACATGGGGAGAATTAGTAGTAAGAGTAGACAGACCTTTGACTCCTCATCCCTCACGGAGTGGAGACGGAAGCGACCCTTTGTGTCATACAGAAGACGGAAACTTTCGTTTGTTTTGGGAATAGAAACAACATCTGGTCAAAGCAAGAAAATGCAAAATCAAAAGTCTTTCAATAAAAATGTCCAATACTCAGCTTCAAAATTTGTGACAAGAATATTTAAATGTGACAACATGTATAGATATTCAACTAAATAACAACAGCATCGCAATTTTGGCAACACTATAGCAACAAGATTAAAAAATGTACATACCCATGAAACCAGTAGGATATGTCTTGTCTGTCCTAACCTTGCCATCAACAAGAACATGGCGCTGCATCAAGATAGCAATAACTTCTCTATATGTCAGGGCATATTTTAGTCTGTTCCTCAAGATGAGAATCAAAGGCAGACACTCCCTTGACTTGTGGGGTCCAGATGATGGCTTGGGTGCCTACACAATCAAGCCATATTAGTAGATGAGTACAGATGAAAATTAAAAAACAAAACGAGGAAGATAATATCACTAACACAAGAACTGTGAGTAATGTACATACAAAGGCACCACCAAGCTTGTCAAGCATCCAATGCTTTGGAGCATTGAGCCTCTTCAAGTGTTTCTTCAGCCCTCTAGCCTGAAATACATGAGAAAAGCTACAAATTAGGATGAGGTCACAGTTTAAGGCATTATATATTCATAATATCCTAAAAATTACACCAAATACTGAGAACCACTGTTTTAAATATATCAGACTGACCAGCCAAATCAGGTCTTACAAACTGCTATCAGAAACATTTAACAGGTAGAAAAGTGGTTAACAACACATGCCAGCTCTATGTTTAAAGCTGAAAAATACTAGAGATTGAGAATACAAGACCCAAATACAGCACCCAAAGTTTACACTATCATGCAACCTCAAAAACAGTTGACTATTAAACCATAAATTAGTACTCTCAAGGTTTTGATTTGTGTTTGCTGTTGCAGTTTGGTTTTAAACTGCAGACATGATTACGGGTGTGCTAAATATTTGATAGGGCAGAAAATTGCGAATAAAGGGGCGTAATGTGATCCCAAAAGCCTTGATGTTGTGGGTACGATCACGGTCGCAAAGGAAACCATTTCTTAAATCGTTGCTAGTACATACGACAGTTCACTAATTAAGTCTTAACAATTGGGTAATAAAACCTGGAAAAGTAAAATCATTACAAAACTTGCCAAGGTGCATCCACACAAAATAAATATAAAACACACAAATAAACACAACACAAAGTAGAGATCAATGGAGAGCATTGTAAGGGGTCAAATTAAACCCACCCAAACCCATTATAACTGAGGGGGACACAAATTCACCTACAATGGACTTAATATTCATCAACAGAAAAAAATAAAAATAATTGAGCAAGCAGAGAACAACTCACTACTTAGAAACCTACCAACCCCATCAACATACAACATACCAAAAGTCTAACGACAGAGCAGAAGAAAAAATCTTTGGTTTAAAGGAAATGATACATTGAATGCAATTAAATGGTAGATGAAAAGCTAACCATGATGGTGGCTTCAGCTCCTGTGAGAATAAGTTGGTCTACGACTGAGAGGGTGAAGATTGACGGAGACCTAAAACTAAAACCCTAGTAGAGCTCTATTTCTATATATACACGGAGCCCCATGACCCATTTCGTTACCAAATCCAAAAATTATGTCTTTCCACAAATAAAGTGTTAACCTTTTTTTTTTTTTTATTATTATTATGAACTTTTTTTATTATAATAATAAAACAATATGATAAATTTTTAACCAAATAATGTCCTTTCCAAAAAAACTAAAAAAATAAACAAATCAACTCATCCCATTTTTATTTGCATGAAATAGGATTTTAAAAATAGGTTGTGTAAATGACATGGCTACTCGTTCGTTGAATCAGAACCTTAAAAAATCTAAATTCCGAATAAAAAATTTAGTTTTTTTAATTAACTTAAAAAATTCTTCCACTGAAAATATGTCTGGAAACATTAGATTAAATATATATATATATATATATATATATATATATTAAAAAAATACTATTATTTTAATAAATTAAGTGAAGAATTATTATTAGTATATATAACACTAATTGATTATTACTATTGATTTAATATAACTTAAATAAAAAATAAATATTTGATAATTTTATTTAATAATAAGAATTTAATTAGTTATAAAATAAATTAATATATTAAAATATTTAATTAATAACAAATACTATTAGTTAAAATAACATTTAAATAACAATATTAAAAATTTAAGTTGTTAAATTAAAAATAAATACTAATAGTTTACTTTGTTAAAAATTAGTGTTAATATTTTAATTTTATTGATTTTTTTATTAAATCCAAACTCCATTAATTATAAAAAAGTAATAATATATTTTAAATTGTTATCTAAACTACTAATAATTATTATATTGCTTCATTAATTTAATATAATAAAATAATTTTTTATAATAGGAATTATTTACTTTAATATTTTCAGTAAAAAATTTCATTTCATTTTTATAAATATTTTAAAAATTTTCAAAACATGAAAAAAAAAAGACAGAAATCGTATTCAGAATTTGATTTTCGTGAAATAAAATTCTAATCACAATGACATTGACAATTCCACTTTATGCAATTACTTTGACATTTGTTTGGATTGGTAAAAGAAATTCAGAAAGGTCCCGTTGGAGGGACATGGGTTTACCCCCTACTCTTTTTCTCCGAGAAATATCATGGATGATTAGTTTTTGCTAAAGATGGATATGAGTAAGAGAAAAAATTAATTTTAATTTAAACTGTTATTGGAAGTAAAAGTAGTAATAATTTTAATTTATCTAATTAGAGATTTTAATCCATGTTATCTATGATGAATCCGAGGTAAAATTACATGAACTCCTACCAAGCTGGTTTTGAGAATTTATTATCAAAATCATATTTTTTTAGTAAAAAAATATTCAAATAGACCTGAGAAATGCCGTTCTAACTAGGTTTATTCGGTTTTTCAGGCCACAAATACTCGGGTAACCCAGCTTTCTTGCGTTCTTCTCTCTTCTCTTTGTCTTTCTCCTCCAACAGTTTATCAGTTCTCGCTATAAAATCATCCCTCACCTTCTCCATGATTTTATCAAAGCCAGCAATTGAATGCTCCATATATTCGAACAGCTCAGTGTTAAGATCTTCAAATATCTTGTACAACTCCTGCAAACAGTCAAAGAAAATGACAATTCATGTTCCATAAGATATTTTCTTAAATAAATTTGAGTTATGTTTATAAAAGTAACATAATATTAACACACTGTGTGTGCTAGTAAAATGTAATTTTATTGCTTTAGATTTTAAAGATTTACAAATTAGAGACTGATGAATCCAAAATGTTTGAAGAGAAGGCATACCATAACATCTTCATTCCAGTGCTGGAGGTAGGGGGGACCAGTGGTGTAGGAACCAAGAGGCTCACGGAACCATTCTCCGTTAAATGTTATTTGATCCATTGCTTGTTCTATGCTCAGAACTTCCCATGGCCTCAACCCTGGAATAATTTCAGCCAACCTCTTTCTGCCTCACATAGCCATCCACCACAACCCAAAGAAAATAAAAGGAGGGGGGAATAAAGGCAAGAGTTAGAAACCATAACAAATTGCTGAATGTAGTAGCAGTCACAATTCAGTGCTATTCTGGTAACAGTCTCAGCATGCGCATACCTAACATGTCTGGGAATGTATTTGTTGGGCATGTGATCCTGTTCCAATATAGTGGTCAGTTCAGAGCCACTAGCCCAAAGAAATAGGGCATAACTTGGAATTTTAACTCCAGGCCAAATACCATCATTAGCTTCCAATACTGCTAAATCACGTCTCTTGCTTTCTATTGCCTCTTCTTGAAGTTGCTTATATGACTTCTTTTCAAATCCCTTCAAAGGAACCCACGGTGGTATACCTTTTTGTAGTTTGTGAATCAATGCTGTTGCTGATGCAGCAAGTCTAACTAAAAAGTTGTCCAACCAAGAATCAGTTTTTATCAAATACCAAATCATAGGGGCCAGCATAAGCAATCTCCAAGCCAAAACCAAAACACTGAAGAAACATTTATCAAGATTTTTTTCCGAAAACTGGATAATGTAATATTCCAATTTTAGGACGTAAAAAGAAATGTTCAAAAACAGTTACCAATTGTCTCGTATTCTGCTTTTGACTAATCTAACTGAAGGACCACAAATTTGGAAAATTAGAAAGAGCAATCTCATAATTTTTCTCACGATCTGAAATTAAGAGAAAAAAGAAATTTCTGATCTGTAGAGCAGAGCAAAATACCATACAGGTCCAACATTTGATTGTAAGTGATATGTAGACCATTAATTTTACATCTTTTCCCCTCATTGGCTCATACAATAGCAAATGCTCAAATGCTTTATTTTGGAGGAAATTATATATGCTGTACACTCTCTACTTTCTACCTCTATATATTCATCAATCATCACAAAGAATGATGCCAAAACTGTCAAAAGACAAATAAATGTTTTAAATTTATAATTTCTGTCATAGACTCTGCTCAAATCTAAACAATAAAGTATATATTAGAGAAAGATGAAAGCTGGAACTAAACAGACCTTCCCAAGTGGCAATTGCACGCTCCATTCCATAAATCATGTGAATGGGTGCCCATTCATCCATATCCTCTCCCCAAATGAACGTGTTCTTATCAATAATCCCAGCACTCCATGCACTTTTAAGAGTAATCAACTCTAAAGGTCCTCGGGTGCGACCCAGCCGATCCTTATAGTACCATCCACCACTCCTCATGATAACTAAAAAGATTAGAAAATGGAAATCACATCATACAACCAAAACTAAAACAATGGGCAGACACGTCAATTAATGGAATATTTACATCTTGAGCTTGAAATTTTATTAGAAAACCTTCATCAGACAACAATAATATTGATTAGATATCTCACATTCAACTACCATGTTATAGCAAACTAGCAATCAATGTAACCGCAAAATGTTCAAAACAATCTATTCAAACTTATGAATATTTCTTTTTTTTTTTTCCTCAGCAAATTAAAAAGGTTGATAGGTTATTTCACAACCAAGTAGAGCACATCAAAATTGATGAATGCCTATGACGATCATGAACAAGAATCAATATATTTTTATCAAGGCTATTAATTCCTACCAATTAGCTCCTATCAACAATGTAGATTAAATATTTCAACACAAATATTGAGCACATATTTCACCCAGAGTCGAATCCAAGGACCTTATAGAACCTGAACACTTTTTTTGATAATGATGTTCAATCCCATCAACCTACCAGTTGTGCTATAACCGTCATTGGCAAGCTATTTTGATTAGGTTATTTTGTGTTCAAAACAACTTATAATCAAAACTTACTGAGAAAGCTTTTGCAAAATTAAATGAAAAGAGAAGAAATAAAAAGTTCAAAAATAAACATGGTTCGTTGCAACAAAAGTATAGTATGACCCTAGATGAACTTGACATATAATGGCAATTTGAATCATAGCCATCATGTCAAGGCATTTTCCGAACCACAACTTTTTTTAAGATTCTAACTCCATCTTGAAATGTCTTTTCAACAACTTTTGTACATTTCTAGCTTCTCTCAACATTGTCACACTTGACTTTAAACACTCAACGTTCTTAAATAATTACAACCTGACAGTGATATCAATTATAATTCTTATACGTTCCATGGTTCCATCCGTCATTTATATAAGGTCCGATTAAATTACAGCCGTCTCCGATGTCTTTTCCTCGGATTTTGCCTGATTAGCCTCCTTTCTTGGGACCTACCAAAAGCTCCTTAATTGTTTTGAGGACATTATATTAAAATCTCTTGTACATTACACAATCTCCCCTTAAATGTTTGTAAACTATCACAATGTGTACCTCTTTAAGATGATTGTTGTATACGTTAAAAAAGCTGAGGTAATATGTGCAATACAAAAGAAATTCAATCTCAAGGTATCAGTGTAATTGTATGGCTTTGATCATTTTTAGACAAAAACTGATTTTTTTCAAAAAATAAATTTAGTTTATGTATAAGTTAAAATATAAAAGTTTAGAAAAGTTATATAAGAAAATTTCTACAAATTAATTTATCCATTAACTAAATTAACTTATGCATTAACTAATTTGAAGAAGCTGGTTTCATTTTTTTCCTTCTTATTTTTCATTAACCAGGGAACTTCCTAACCGTTTAAAACTATCATTCTTTTACAAATCTATGACACCGGGGGTATGTATTTACAGCTACACCTCCAAGGGGCCCAAGAAACAAAACACACAGGCAAATAAGTAGGATTGAAGAAAACCCAATGCAACTCACAGTCATAGTAGCGCCTCTCGAGGTTCTTATACCCAATGGACTGGGCCGCATCGATGGGCTTCTCGGGAGGGTAGGGCCGCTGTCTGAAGTTCCAGAGCCCGAAAAAGAACTGCCTGGCGAAGTCCCAAAACTTGTCGTCGGCCTCCTCCTGGGTCGTCTGGGCCTTGCGGGGCATGGGACGTCCGTCGGGTCCAATAACATGCGGCAACTGCTTCCACAAATCCCAATCCTCCCTGTGGTAGGGTTTCTCGTTCTCCTTCAACTCCATCTCGTTCATCTTGTCGAGAATCTCCTCGGCGCGCGCCAGGAACTGCACCACCGGGCTGCTGCGCAGGGTCTCCACGAGCTCCTCGTTCTCCCGAATCTCCTCCTCTGTCGCATTCTCGCGTCTCTCGAAGATAGAATCGTCATCGTTGTCGGCGAGGATTTTGTCGACTTCTGGGGTGTGGCGGTGGTCCGGAAGGGTCTGAGCCTCCCATAGGACCTGCCGGGCCAGCTGCTCGTAAGGGTCGGGCTCGGCGGGGTCCTTGGGCTTTTCCTTGCGCTTGCGGCGGAAGGGGTTGGGGAGGGTGATAGCGGCGAAGTTGGGGTGGAGGGAGGGTGCGTCTGGGAGGTTGAGAGAGTTGTTGGGGAGAGAGGGGATAGAGAGAGGGTTGGGAGGTTTGGAGAACCAGTTTCCCCCGAAGGGGTTGAAGTTGATGGAAGCCATGGGAGGAAAATGAAGGTGTGAGGGAAGATATAGTAAAGTTTGAAGTGAAGTGAGGAGTGTTTGTTTGCTTCTGTTGAAGTTAGAAGAGGATAAAGGAAATGGGCCCAATTAAACGTCAATAGATGATGAATATTTTGGGCTGGCCTTAATTAATAATTTGGGTCCAAAGGAATACTTGCCTAATTTGCCCGATGGCTTTTGCTTTTAGCACCTCCCAAATTTCTTCCTGTACTCTGAAATTTTCCAAGAGTAAGTGGGTAGCATGTTGCTGAGTTTGAAATGGCTTGGAAATGGTTGTTGCAAGTGGTTGGAAATGCTTTCATCCGAACGATGGTAAGCTTGGCATATGTTAATATATATTTAGAATTTAGGGCTATGGTTGATATATTTTAATCATGTTTAATTCATTTTTTTTTAAGTAGAATGCTATGTTTATTGATGGTCTCTTTGATAGTAAGAAAGAAAGAGTGAGAAAAAAAATGAAAGAAAGAAAGAAAGAAAAAAATAAAGTGAAAAATATTTTGAATCGTTTAAAAGAAAAATAACATCAAAACAAAGAAAAGTATTTATTTTAAAAAATAATAAAATATTAAATTAAAATTAATATTTATTAATTACAGAATTATCCATATGATTATTAATTAATTTTTTTATTGATAAAATAACTTTTTATAACAATATCTTTAAGTTATATATCTCATTTTTTAATTATAAAATTATTTAAAAATAAAATAATAAAATAATATCATTTTATAAACAAATAAAAAATATATAAAATCATCTATTTGATTTTTATAATCATCTTCATATTTTATTAAAATAATAATTAAATGTATATATATATATATATATAAATTGTAAACATAAAAATAAATAATTATTTATTTAAGTAAAAATAATTTTGTAAAATAACATTTTTCATTTATTTTTTATTATTTTTTGCTTATTTATGAGAAAAAAGTAAATATATTTATTACAATAGAAAATAACATTTTGTCTTTATTATATTTCTTATTATCGAAAAAAAAAATCACTCATTTTCTTACATTTATTATTTTTCACTCTATATTTTCCCTACAATCGAATAAAACCTCAATTTCTCCATTTTATATTTTGGTAACCTTGAGAATAGTATTTTGTCTTCTACTCTCATTCAATGTTTGAACCATACCCCTCTGTTGGTTCTTGTATTCGACCAAGTCAAAGTTGTTGATATTGCTAAAATGAGAGATCCACTTTAATAAACTTCTTGTGGTGAGTGCAGCATACCTTTACAAGATCTTGCGCTTCAGATTGAGTTAAGAGTTAGGGACATTCACTCTTCAAAAAAGTTTTCTCTTTAATATATTTTTATTTTAGTCTCCTTAACTTTAAAATGTACTATTTTTATCTCTCAAGCATAATTTAAGTTACATTTTTCTCTTCTATAAAAAAACTAAAATGGAATTTTAATAATTTGAAAGGAAAAAGAAAACTATTTTAATCTAAATATACCAAAAGTAAGATGAGAATTGTCTGATAATAAATTTGCAGTTGTAAAGAAAAGTGACATGCATTGGCACACTTTGCAGGAAGCAGACGAGAGAAGGCAGGGAAGAAGATACCTTCCTTCCACACACCCTATGAATCACACAACACAATAACTCTCTCATTCTTCTCATCCTAACCACACCACATGAAAATGCCTCCTTTTCTTCATTCTTTTCCTCCTCGTTCCTTCTTCTTCTGCTGCTGCTTCCTTTTCCTTTCTCTTTTTCTCTTGCTCTTGCTCTTGGTGGCACCTTCTTCTTCTTCTTCTTCTTCTTCTGGTGCCCCAAATGAGAAGGTATCTGTGTCACTCTACTACGAGAGTTTGTGCCCCTATTGTGCTGATTTCATTGTCAACCATCTTGTGAGGCTCTTCCAAACGGATCTTATCTCCATTGTCAACCTCAGATTGGTCCCTTGGGGCAATGCTTGGATTTCATCTGATGCCTCCCTCATTTGCCAGGTTTCATCTTCTTCTTCTTCAATCTTTTCAATCATACTGAAAATTTTAACTTCATTTTAATATGTTTAATTGTTATTTTTCTATAATTAAAATTTAACTATTACTCTGATAATATATATTATTTATATTAATGCATACTTTTATTTGGAGGATTATGAGAGAGAAGAAGCTCTAAATTTTACAGGGAAATATGTAGTCAAATTTTATGTAGTCAAATTTTATTTTTAACTTAGCATGAATTTGGAAAAGAGAAAAAAAAAGAGATATTTTTTTAAAATATTAATTTTTAAAAAATTTATATAATTTTTGTAAATTTTTATTTTTTTTAACATTATAGAGAATTATTTTTCTTAAAAATCTTTATAAAACAATTTTAACATCCCCTAACAGTTCATTCTAATAATAATATAATAATAAAATTTTTAAATTTATTACTATTATATTATTAAAAAATAAATTTTTAAATTTATTATTACTATATTATTAAAAAGTAAATTTTTAATTAAGGTTAAACTTATTTTATTTATTAAAATTTTAATTAATTATAATATCATGATATAATTTAATGATTAAATAAATTATTATTTTATATATTTAAATTAAAAAATTTAATAATAAAAATAAAATAATACACGTACTGGGTTTTAGAACAAATCTGAAAGCAGAAGTAGAAGTTATGATGTTGACATGTATTTTAAAGGTACTGTCACCCTAATAAATTCTTGACCCATAATTTGCCCAATTGATTTCTTGCTGAATTGAATTCTTCAACAACCCACCAAATTCATCAATATTTAAGGATAAGATGGAAATGACCTAATTGGGCTCAATCATTTTGGGCCTGCCAATCTCCATCTTTGTTTTTTGTTTTAAAATGATAAATTCTGTGAGAATTTTACTCGTACCATATGATAAATATTTAATAATAAAAAAAACAATTTTTTTTCTTGTGTTATGTAATTTATTTTCACCATCACCACTTTTAATAATTGCAGCATGGAGAAGATGAATGCTTCCTCAACACTATCGAGGCCTGCGCTATTACACTTTATCCTGACGTGGTAGGCTTACTTATGCTATAAAAAAAATAAATTAAAATTATATTTATATAAAATAAAATTATTTAATTTATTAACGAATATATAAAAAAAAGTGAATCTAAATTTTCGTGCAAAAAAGTTGGCCCTTCCATGATCAGCTTTTGAATGAATATACGATGCATGCAGGTGCAGCATTTTAGATTTGTTGAGTGTTTGGAGCGTCTGAGTTTAGAGGGGAGACATAGGCAATGGATGAACTGCTTCCAAATCACTGGCTTCGGCACATCACCTATTGATTGCTACACTAGTGGCAATGGAAAAACTGTTAGTTTCTTTTTTTTTTAAATTCCATTCTTAATTTTTATATGTCTTTCAATAAATATATATATATATATATATATATATATATATTTATTGACGTGATTAATGTCATCATCAATTGATTATTTACGTGGATTAACACATAGTGTTAGAGATTCTTGGTATAAAAAAGAGTGTTAGAGATTCTTGGTATAAGAAAGAGCATATTCTTTCAACTTTTTTTCATTATAATAATATTATTATAATCAATTTGCATATAATGAGAATATTTTAATCTTATATATATTATAATAATATTGTTAAGATTAATTTTTTATTATAAAATATTATCTAAAATCTTAATTGATTATGATTTTGTCCTTATAAATACTTTTGTAGTTTGAGAGATAAAAGTGTATACAAATTATTTGTAATCTCGATTTCTAAATAATGTGAATCTCACGAGAATATATATGAAAATATATTAGTTTTTTTTTTTTAATTTCATTCTTAATTTATATTTATATCTATTATAATAATAATGTTATGATCTATTCTGAAATTCGGCTATGATAGAATTATTTAGGTAAATTTTTAGTCTGAAATATTATTCATTTTAAAATTTTAGTCTCTCACAATTTTTTTATTAAAAAGTATTTTACTAGGTTGAAAGAGAATAATTTATATAGATTATCCAATCTGGATTCTTAAAAAATTGGACTCATAAATGTATCAAAATAAAAATCAACTTAATTTACTATTAAAATATATGAAAATTATAAAATGAAGAGAGTTTTACTAACTACATCATTTAAGTCTTATATTATTTTTAATAAATTTTAAATAAGAACCAGTGATAATAAAAAATAATATATTGACCACTAATTTTTGATGATAAAAAATAATAATTTTAGATGCCAAATTTGTATGTTAATTTGTTTGTGTCTAACAAACAGATTGATACGAAGTATGCAAAGGAAACATCTAAGCTTAATCCTCCCCATAGATTTGTTCCATGGGTGGTTGTCAACGACCAAGCACTCCAAGAGGTTTGTGATTGATATCAAATTGAAGATTGTGCAACCCAAGTGAATTGAATTTGTTGAACTCTTTTTCCTTTTCCTATGGATGCAGGACTACAGAAATTTTGTGACCTACATTTGTAGGGCTTACAAAGGCAATGTGATCCCAAGTGCTTGTAGGTCATCATCACTTTCAACAAGAACTTATGATGACTCAAATGAAAAAGTCAATCCCTTTAAACCAGTTTGCTATGTAGATGATGCAACAAATCTGACCTTACACTTTGGCAACAAGAATAAGCACTGAAAATGAGGTTGGAATATACTTTCATGGTGATTAATCATGTCATGTGTAAAAGTTTAAACTTTAGACACAAGTTTAATAAGCTTCTGCTGACTAATCTGTAACTTTGAATGTTCATGACTTTAGAAATTAATATTTTTATTTTAATAATATTAATTAAATTTTTTGAAATTAGTATATTCTCGTTCGAAACAAAATTAAATACAAATAAAAAAAATAAAAAAGCTGTAGTTGCTTAACTACTTTTTTGTTTTTGTATAAAAAAAGTATGCGTAACTTTTTTTAAATGTAATGTTAAACATATGATAGCAGTATATATAGAATACTTATTTATAATTTTTTTTAAAGTAAATGATATGATACAGTATATTCAGGAGATGAAATGTCGTAATGTTATAAGTAATTTATTTTTGACATGATTTATAACTTTTTTTTAAATAAATAAGGTAATTTTTTATTAATCGAAATTTTGAATAATAAAATATCCTTGTAACAATAACGTTAAGTTGCGTTTAATATTTATATAAATATTAAAAAAATTCATGTATACGTTCATAAGATGTTAGAAGATTTAATACTGTATAATTTTCATTTTTCTAATTTACTTAAAATATCATTTATTTATGAATAATAATAATACGGTTATAGTAGTATAATAATTAGATCAATATATTAGTAAGTTATTAATAAATTTTTAATCACATTACATCGCAAAATCTTCTAAGATTTCATGAAGTAATTCGTAAGGCATAACATATATACAAGTAATAAATGTTTAATTTTTAGCAATTTTGTTTCTTTTCCTGATAGTTATTTTCTTGTACAACTGGTATAGACGGTACAATTTACATGTATATATATTTTGTCTCAATTTAATGCAGAGATAATTTTACTGTTTAGATAAATTATAGTTTCATTATATGATATTAGTTTCATTCTTTCTTACCGTATCACCACCTCTGAATAACAAAAACTATTATTCATATAACAGAGAGATGTGACATGTATTGCTTTCCAAAAATAAATTGAAATTTGTGAGTGGGACGATCAAGATGCCTTAAGAAGATGATCATTTATATGAAACTTGAGAACGATGCAATGTCATAATAATATCTTGAATTACCAAAGTTTTATCACCTGAAATTGTTAGAAGTAACAATTTGAAAGATCAGTTATTAAAAGACATTTCAAGTTGTCGAATCTACTACAAGGGATACACTAAATGTGGTAAGGAGAACAAAATATTTCAGGTTATTTCACAAATCTCAAGATCCTACAGGAAGATCTTGAATTCCTAAGACCTTTTTCATCGTGTACATGCGATAACAAGTAATCTTGTCAAATAGCTACTTTAATAAAAAAGCAAAGAGAAGTCGGATATGTGATTTATTTTCTAAACGATCTCAATGATCAGTATAACTATGTGAGGACTCAAATCTTACTTAGGGAGCCTTTGTCTTCCATAACCAAGGTTTTCTCACTCATGCTTTAACAAAAAAACCCAACAGATGACAACATTCTAAGAGATGCGAAGTTGTTGTTCAATACTAATACCAATGCTTCTTTCAATGACACAAATAATTAGCCTTATGCCCAAACTGAAAGAGTCCATGGAAGAGGTAGAAACTCTAACAACAATGGAAGTGCAAATAATAACTCGAAAGTGTGCACATTTTGTGGGAGAACAAGGCACACAATGGAAACCTATTATTTCAGCGAATAGTATGTCAACAAATTCAGAAATTGCATTCAATGTTGCGAATGATCTCACAAAGATAGAATATCTAGGAGAAGAAATTACCATTAATCCTGGCGAATGATCTCACAAAGATAGAATATCTAGGAGAAGAAATTACCATTAATCCTGAAATTTATCAGAAGTTGATGCACTTAATTCAAAGGTCAGAAACTCCTTCATCAAGAGTTACAACTAGCCAAATCAACACAATTTCTATAAATCAAAATTTCGCTGAATTAGGTATTCAGCTGAATCCAACCATTATTTAGATCCTTTATAGTGGTGCAACAGACCATGTATGCTATTCTTTGTCTTTTTTCAATTCTTTTAAAAAAATCCCCCCCAATTAGGTAAAACTCCCAAATGGTACACTCATGTACATTGATGTATGTGGCACCATTATCTTTTCTAATTCTTTCGTTCTATATGATGTTATTTTCATACCTAATTTTTGTTTTAATTTTGTTTTTGTCACAAAACTGACAATATTTCTTACTTACAAATTGCTTTCTCTTTTACATCATATGTTATTAAGGACCTTTCTTCATCAAGGATGATTGGGCATGCTAAAGTTGCTCACAAACTTTATGTGCTAGATGATCCTATTATGCCATTTACACCACACTTTATAAATTATGTTTGTATCAATAAGCCATATGACATGTTTGACATATGGCATTTTAGGCTAGGACATCCTTCTCACATTGTTTTATAGAAAAATCGTATCTCATTTTCCATATGCTACTTTCAAATCCAATAAAATATGTGACTATTGTCATTTTCCTAAACAATCAAGTTTACCTTTCCCTTAGAGTGTCCATAAGTCTTCTACTGCCTTTGATTTAGTCCATATGGATATTTAAGGATTTGTTTTTATTCCCTTAATTCATGGGCATCGTTACTTCCTCACTATAGTAGATGATCACACTAGACATACATGACTCTTTATGATGCACACTAAGGCTAAAACCCATGGACTCATTTTTAAATTTGTACAACTTGTTCTTACACAATTTGGTTGCAAAATTAAAATGATCGGATCTAACAATGACACAAAGTTTCAATATGCAGTCCTTTTATGATGATCACAAAATCATACATCAAACATCTTGTGTTGAAACTCCTAAACAAAATTCAGTGGTAGAAAGAAAGCTTAGACACGTCCTCAACATGGCACATTCATTGATGTCCCAAGCTAGTTTGTCAAAAAAAAAATTTGGTGTCATGTAATGTAACATGTAGTTTATCTCATAAATAGGCTTCCCTCGCCTATTCTAGATCACAAAAGCCCATTTTGAATTCTTCATCATACTACTCCAACTTTATTACACATCAAAGTTTTTGGGTGTTTGTCTTATGCATCAACATTGATACATAAGAGAGATAAGTTAGATCCTCGAGCCTGCAAGTTCATCTTCCTTGGCTTCAAGCATGACACAAGAGGATATATTTTATACAATATTCAAACACGAGAGATATTCATTTCTCGAAATGTAGTCTTTCATGAACATTTTTTTCCTTCTATCCCATTAAACCAACACACTACATCATCTCCTCACCCACTCACTTTCATCCTTACTCTTTATGATTTCCTCGTTGAATCATACGAACCTGCTCCTTTGTCAACACACACACAATCATCTTCCATCACCTAATTTGTCCTAATTGATCAACTTACTATCACCAAGAAATCATCCAAAAATAGAAGCCACCTTCTTACCTCGCTAACTTTCATTGCAACAGTCTTGTTTCTAAAACTAACTTTTTCATCTTCTATCCTTTATCACTTGTTCTAGAATAAGATTCTCTCTTTTCTTCACATAAATTTTTTTCCTCTCTATCTCTAAATACATAGAACCCACAACTTATACTCAAGCTGCCAAGTCCCAATGTTCGATAGATGCCATGAATGTTGAACTAAGTGCTCTAGATCAAAACCATACTTGGGATAAAGTCAGACTAGTTGCCAAGGGATATACACAAACTGAGGGAATTGACTTTTGACACTTTCTCACCCGTTGCAAAGTTGACTACAATTAGATTATTACTTGCATTAGCTACCATGCAGAATTAACATCTTTATCAGTTAGATGTCAATAATATCTTTTTACATGGGGACTTACATGAATATGTATTTATGGAGTTACCTCAAGGAATTTCCACCTCCAAGCCTAACCAAGTGTGTTGCTTACTAAAGTCTATCTATGTCTGAAGCAAGCAAGCAAACAATGGTTTGCTAAGCTTTCCTTATTCTTATTGTCAATGGTTACATTCAATCTCAGGCTTATCACTCTTTGTGTTTCTAAACAAGATGAATCTTTCTTTACCGCCTTGCTTATCTACGTTGATGATGTAATATTGGCCGCAGTGGCGGATCTTCTTGGGAGCTGAGGGGAGCCATGACCCTCCCCTCCCCCCAAAGTTTTGCAACTTCCATATAATTTATGATTTTGGCCCCCTCCAAACTTAATGAATATTTAATATATTTACTTGTATATTTACAATTTTATCCTCTCAACCCCTCCTTAGTTTTATAACTCTCATATAATTTATGATTTTGTCCCCCTCAAACTTAATGATCATTTAATATATTTAAGTATGTATCTACAATTTTATCCTTTCACCCTTTTATCTTCTTTCTTTCTTTTATATTTATTTATTATTTATTAATAATATATTATTTAACCCCCTCAAGATCAATGGTCAAGATCCGCCATTGCTTGCCGGTAATCATCTTCCTAAAATTTGTTCTATTAAACAAAAACTAGATCTTCCCTTTCGTATAAAGAACTCAAATACATCCTTAGTTTAGAAGTGGCTCGATCCCACATTAGAATCTTTGTATGTCAAAAAAAATATGCACTTGAGATCCTCTCAAACACTAATCTCCTAGCCTCCAAACCTGTACCAAGTCCTATGATTTACATTATGCCAATAATCCTTTACTTACTGATCCAACTAGTCATCGAAGGCTTATTGGTCGTGTACTCTACTTAACAACAATCCAACCAAACATTAGTTTCGTTATTCAATAATTGTCTCAATTTATGCATGCTCCAACTCAATCCCATCAACATCAAATTAGACTCTACTTCTTCGAGACTCACATGCATTAAATTAGACTTAAATATATGTATCTATCAAACTATCTTTTTAAGTGGACATCTCTTCAACATGATACATAATTGGAATGTATTTTCTCGTGTAGTAGGATAATATTTTTGTGACTTACTATGTTAGTTCTCTTTTATACTAAAATTTAAGTTATAAAAATTTACCAAGTTTTTTCTTACAAAGACCAAAGTCCACACATTAAACACTTAACAAATATCATAATGTATCACTAATTAAAATTCCTGCTACAAGTCAAAGTCACATGCAACCAAAATCTCCCCAAGAAAAACTAAAAAAAAAAAAACAATGAAAAACTTACTAAAACAAGAATTCTAATTGAGTAAGAGCCTATTACCTAAAATTAATGCAAAATGGGTGAATTTGTTTTTATAAAAACTAGAAATTATGAAATTTAAAGAAAATTAATTTTTAAAAATAAGGTTTAAAATGTAACATTTTTTTATTTAAATCATTTTAATTAAAGAGTAAAAATTTCAATTTAAGTAAAAATATGAATATTGATAATAAGTTTATGTTAATATTAGAAAATAAATAGGATGATTTGAGTGTAACTATTTTTTTTTTAAGTTAAAACGATAAAAAAATATATAAGTCAACAGTGCGATTATCAAGTTACTTATTTAAACCCATAAAAAATTCACTAATTTAAAAGCAAAAAGGTCTTATTGATTATACATTATATATATAAACTATAATAAAATAGTTACACTTAAATTTAAAAAGTATATAAACGTGATAATAAACTATAAACATACCTTTTTTTTCATAAATATTATTTTGTTTGTTTTGATGCAATTAAATTATAGACATAGTATTTTTATTTAAAATAACATTAGAAATATTTAATTGATTAAATTAAAAAAAAACATATGTAAAATTTAAAAAAAAGATCAATGTTACATTTTCTTAAAGTAAAAAGATTAAAATTGTACATAAAAGAGAACTAAAATCGCAGATAATTAAAGGGATACCAAAATTGCAATTGAACTAAAAAATTGAATGTCATTCTTGACTTTCTTTTGCATACACAACTACGCAATGCATGTAATTTATTACCCGAATTTCATTTGCAAAAATAGCCTAAGTAGGTCAAAATCAAAAAGCCCCTTTCATGATTGGAAAATTATACTTACCCAATGCATGGTTTGTATGAAAAAAATAGTGAAAATGTGTTTAATTTTTTAAATCATTGACTATTAACATGTAAGAATAACATCTAATGTAGGGGAAATATGCACAACTATATTTTCTAGAAGAGTTTAGTTCAATTAAGAGTAACTTAAAAAAGCATTAACATAAAGGAAGGTTTTTTAATTATTGTGGGAGAAAAAACAGAATAAAAGTTTGCTGAACTTGCCTAGTCTAAAAGTTCAATTTTCAGTATTCCATAAATAAACCAATACATGTAGAAAATATAAGATGATAAAATGAACCAACCATTACCATAAATTTCTCCATCATGGATAGGATTGGGAGCTTCAAAAGAGACAGAAATGAAAGAGAGAAATCTAATACTTCGGGAAACCAAGAAAACTAGAGCCAAAAGAAACTAGAAAGTAGGAAGTGGCAAAGGACAAAAGCAATATCTATACTTTTGTGGTTGGTAATATAAGTAAGACAGAGAGAATGGAGAAGGAAGTGCTGGTGAAAGATAAGCAAACACAGAACAATGCTTATGATACCATGAAGCTTGAAACTTTTTTTTTTTTTTTTTTTTTTTTGTGGAGTTAAGCAAAGTTAAAACAACAAACAAAAATAAAGGCTCCAAGAGTGAATGAATAATAGATGATGATCATGTCTCATAAAGGTTATAGCTTCTACTGTTCCGTACAATTGTTTTATTGTATTTCTGGGATTCATGCCTTCAGTTTTCACTTGAAAACAAAACCATAGATAAAGGCCTTTCAGCTAAATTTTCCAAACCAAAATGGAAAGTAGAATTTGTAGTTCTCCAAACTGAAAAACCACTCCTCTCTCCATCTCTATTTTCTTTTCTTTTCCTTTTTCTTCTCCTTCACTAAAGAGGAGTTATACTCTTATACTTAGTTAGATATTAGAGACTCAGTTCCAATTTCCAGATATTTTTTCAGTCACAATTCACATCCTTACACCCAGAGACACAGTAGAAGGCCTTTCTACAAGCATGAACAAAATGGATTTTTCAAAACTAGTTATCACCATTGCATTGGTGCTAGTCCTTTTTCTTTGCATGGATGGATCTGAGGGTGTATCTAATTCTTCTGGTTCACTTAGTGTTGGTGACATTAATCCACCATTTGCTCATCACAAAGTGAACCTGTCAGTGTACTATGACAGTCTTTGCAAATCTTGTGCACTATTCATTATTAAGGATCTGAGGGATATCTTTGACAGTAGTCTCATCAGCATTGTGAATCTTCGGCTAGTCCCTTGGGCCAATGCTTACATCAATAATAACAATAATTCCATATCATGTCAGGTTTGATTATCTCTATTTTATCTTTCCTTTTCTTCAATGAATTACATTTCAGTTATATATCATCTATCACAGGCTTGGTCTCATACAAAACTGAGGAAAATAAGTGTATTTTAGTTTCAACTTATCATGAGAAGAAAGCATAGGCACTTGCATTAAGGCATTTCTGGGAATATAAAGTAAAGTATTCCTACAAAAATGCTAGGACTAGGAGTGAGTTATGGTTATCTTTGCTATATTTCAGTTGCTTTAATTTAGTTTAGTTTTTGTGAACTTTTCATTTTGGCTTTTGTTACTAAGTTTTCACTTGAATCAGGGAATATGAACTTAACTTTTAATAATGTCTTTTAATTTATGTTCACTAAATTATGCAGTCAATGAACTTTATTGTTGCAGTCTGACCTCATTTCTGGATATACACTCCATCAATTAACTGCAGAGAATACTTGCAGAGTGTTAGGTTCCAGGAAACGAGATAAAGAGAGGGAGGTTTTAATAATTTATCATTGTTTAGGAGAAAGAAGAGAAGTAAAATCTGTGATTTAAAACAAGTATAGTAATTAAAATATTCTTATATTTTGAAATTTAAAATCATGAAGGTATAAAAATAAAATAGTTTTGTAAATGTTTTCAGAATTGGAGTTAGAATTGATTGAATCCAAAAAAATCTAACTTCTAAAGTAACAGTTGTCTTTTACTCACATGATTTAATTTGACTATATAATTATTGGTGTGAGATCTTAAGAAAATTCTTCTCTCAAATAGAAACAAAATGTTCAATTAAAATCCCTCCCCATTATAGAAAGCTCTCCCTATTATTATTTATATTTTCTCTGTATTTGAAGAACCAGTAAGAAATTTGACTATCATCTTTCTATATGGCTCAAACTTATACACTGATTGGCAGAATGGCCCAGATGAATGTGAGCTAAATTCATTGGAATCATGTGCCCTTAATCTTTGGCATAAAGTGGTAAGTATACTATAATTTTCCCTCCCAGTTAACAAGGGTACACAGAAACCAGACCTCTCTGGTCATAACTGGTACTGATTTCTATGAATCTAATGGATCTGAGATATGTGCAACAATATTATGATTCAGGACATACAATATGAACTGATCAGCTGCTTTGAGTTTCTAGCAATTGAGGGAACCATTAACACATGGAAGGAAGACTGTTTAAACCAGTTGGGTTTGCCTGAGAAGCCTTTCCTGAATTGCTTCAACATGGGAAATGGAACACAGGTTTTTTTTTTTTTTTTTTTTTTTTCCCATTTCTTTCACCTTATGGTTTGTTAAACTATGTAAATGAAACGGGCAATTGTTTTCTTCCATGACTCTGTTTGGTCAAGCCATTAGTAGATATGGTTACTCATGACATCTCTTAATCATGACTACAATGGCATGTACAAATTCAACTTTGTATAATACTACAACCATCTACAACTTAAAAGCAGTCAAAACATTTTCTATTTATATTTTTAATTATAAGAATACCCTTTTGTTTCCACAATCTTGACAAGTTTTACAATTCAGAAAAAGAATTCATAACATTTAGTTGTGTGTAATATAGAAATTAGTAGAAGGAACCATGATGGTTCTGAACTACTTAATATTTTGTTCTTGTATGCAGCTTGGAAAAACATATATTAATCAAACTGCACAACTTTACCCATCTCCTTTATCTGTACCATGGGTGGTGGTGAACAATCAACCAGTTGGAAATGTAAGTCCTTTCTACTGTATCTCATGTTTTCTCATTCACACACATCTCCACATGTCAGTTATGATCTTTGTTTTACTGAGATTATAGTTATCAAGAGCACTGTTTGTGTGAATTCAGGACTATGCAAATTTTGCACAATATGTTTGCAAGGCTTACAGAGGAGATGCAGTTCCAGAGGTCTGCAATTCTCCTTGAAACAAATGCTCGTGAGAAACAAAATCAATTATTTAATAATACAGTGTGTTGGTGCAGCAAGAGGCACATTGAGTCTGCATAAAATGTTCAATCTATAATAGTTAATAAAGGGGGACAAAGCAAAATAATCAGAAAATCTACATTTTCCATCATTGAACTTATATGCTAAATGGAAGTGTATTCTGCATCAACAATTTGAAGGTGAGAGAAAATGATTATTTACATGCTGTTATTTCTGTATCAGGGATAGGACATGCTACAAATTCTCAAATCAATACCATTGTTTTAGAATGTACATTCTCAATGGGAAATACATTTTATTGTGAATTTAGGACTAAAAATACATCAAATATTATACCAATCTACATCATATTGATATGAAATTAAAATTTAATAATTATATTAATAGATACTTTTTATATAAAAGTATTTACAACATAACATTTAGTAAAAGTTATACAATATAATTTGTTTCCTTCTTTTTAAAATAATATTACTTTTGACAAAAAATAATTGTAAGAAAAGTCGATAAAAAATTTGTAGCAATAACTATTAGAAATTTATCTTTTATCATTATTTTTTTTAATATAATGATTAAAATAAGTTATTATTTTAATTTTTACATCAAAAATAAAAATAGTCACTGATACTTAATATTTTTTCTAAATATTTATTTATTTATTTTCGTATTATAATAAAAAATTTATTTTATTCTTATAAATTTTTCTCACTTCTCCGCTCACCATAATTTTTTCCCCCTATCTTCATTAGTTTTCTTTTATTTTCTCCTCCTTTTTCATAAACAATAAACTCGAAAGAGCTAACTTTTAAAAGTTTTTTATTCTTTTTTTTTTTTTTAACTCAGAACTTACTTATAATTTGTTTTAAATAAAAGTCAAATTAGTTTTCTGAAGTTTCGTAAATTTTTTGAGACAAAAATGCTTTCTTAACACTTTCAAATTGTCAAACACCCACATAATATTTACGATATAATAATCTTACTTTTTAACTAAATGAAAAATAAGGTAATTATATATATATATATATATATATATATATATATATATATAAAATAAATAAAGTGTGAGAGGAAAAATATATATGAAAGACATAATAATAATGTGATCAAATATTTTTATTTTAGTATATTTTGATTTGAGTATATTTTAGAGGTAGAAAAACTTATTTATTTTTTGGTTCCTCATCACTATCAATTTTTGGTAAGATAAAAAAAGGAAAAAAAATAATGAACTTATAAAATTCAATAGAAACTAAAAATATGAAAATATATAGAAACGAAAACAGATATTTAACTAAATAAATATTATTAGTAAAAAAGGATATTTTTCTTTTGTGGGTTGTGCACTTGTCAATGATTATTAAATAAAAGAGATGTCAACTGCGGTCTCATGTGCTTAATATGATAATTTCCAAACGAAGACTTCCAAGTGTTGAGAGGTTCAGCACTTCCTCAATGGAAATTTATGGCAGGGAAATTTCGATCCCATCCTTCACCACTTTTTGTTTGTATTCAACCATTTTGTTCCTACACCATAAAAGATAATAATGGTTTTACTTCTTCTACGATACATCATATCACTGACTTACACGTTCTTTGGTCCTTACATGTACTTTTCTTACTTGACCTTCACCTTCTCCACTTTCATTGAACCTATATAATTACATGCTTTGGCATGCATGTTTTAGCACCATAATTCTTCCAATTCTGCCAATGGCTCCTCCCAAGACTCTCTTTGTCCTCCTCATCTTCCTCATTCTTCTAGTTTCTGCCACTGCTTTTTCCTTCCTATTCCATGGCTTCAATGAAAGTAATATCACCCTTGAAGGGAAAGCAAAGATTGACAACCAAGGTATACTTCAGCTCACCGGAAGAAAAAACAATATTGTTGGTCATGCATTCTATAACAAATCCATCATAATACTTGATAAAACAAATGCTTCAGTCCTCCAGCCAAAGGTTTTTTCCTTTAGTACATGCTTTGTTTTCTCAATTGTGTCACCAAGTTCTGGCCCTGGTGGCTTTGGTCTTGCCTTCACCATAGCTCCTTCAACACAATTCCCAGATGCTGAAGGTGGCCATCTTCTTGGTCTTTTCAACTCTTCCAATGATATGAGCTCCTCAAATCATATCTTGGTGGTTGAGTTTGATACAGTGAATGGCTACAAAGATTCTGCTGACACCGTAGGAAACCATGTTGGGGTAAACAAAAATGGCATGTCCTCAAATATATCTGAGCCTGCAGCTTACTTTGAAGAGGGCAGAAAGGAAGAGTTCAACATGGAGAAGGCTGACGCTGTTTGTGCTTGGATTGAATACGATGGTGAAACAGAAATACTGAATGTCACAATAGCCCCTTATTTGGAACCAAAACCAAGCAAACCACTTATATCCGAGGCTATTGACATCAAGTCTGTCATGGAGGAAAGCATGTTTTTTGGTTTCTCTGCATCAACAGGTAGTAGGAAAGCAAGTTCCCATTATATTCTAGGGTGGAGCTTTGCATTGAATGGGGTTTCCCCTCCACTCAATGCTTCACTCCTTCCAAAGCCACCACCAAAGGAGAAAGATTCATACTATTTTCCTTTGGTCAAGGTTGTAATTGGTATCTTGTCTGCTTTGACATTTACCTTGCTGTGCCTTTTGTTTTGTGTGACATTCTATAAGAGATATATGATATTTGAAACTCTTGAGGACTGGGAGCGGGGTTGTCCTCATAGGTTAAAATATAGAGATCTTCATCTAGCAACAAAGGGATTCGTAGAGAGCCAACTAATTGGTGTTGGAGGCTTTGGTTCTGTGTACAAAGGTGTGTTACCAAGCACAGGAACTGAGGTTGCTGTTAAAAGGATCATGACAAGTCCAGCCCGAGGAATGAGGGAATTTGCAGCTGAGATTGAAAGCTTAGGAAGATTGAGACACAAGAATTTGGTCAATCTTCAAGGGTGGTGCAAGCACAAGAATGATCTCCTTCTAATTTATGATTACATTCCGAATGGGAGCCTTGACTCTCTCCTATTCAATAAAAACTTTGCTTTGGATTGGGACCAGAGATTCAAAATTCTCAAAGGTGTAGCTGAAGGGCTGTTGTACCTTCATGAAGAGTGGGAACAAGTGGTGATCCATAGAGATGTGAAATCTAGCAATATTCTTATTGACGGGGACTTCAATGCTCGTTTGGGTGACTTTGGACTAGCAAGGCTTTATAGCCATGACCAAGTGTCACACACAACCAGTGTGGCTGGCACCATAGGGTATATTGCACCAGAGTTAACTAGGACAGGAAAGGCATCTACAAGCTCTGATGTGTATGCATTTGGGGTCCTACTTCTTGAAACGGTTTCTGGCACAAGGCCTGTAGGTTCATCAGGTAAGTTTTTCTTGGTCGATTGGGTTCTTGAAAATTGCCTACTTGATCAGATTCTTGAAGTGGTTGATCCAAAGCTAGATTCAGTTTATGATGAAGAAGAAGTGGAGTTAGTTCTGAAATTGGGTCTACTATGCAGTCAATACAAAGCTGATTACAGACCCTCTATCAAACAAGTGACTAGGTACCTAAACATTGATGACCCTCTGCCTGATATCTCTGATTGGAGACACTATGATTCACAAAGCACCACAACAAGCTTAAGTTTCTTGGAAGCCATGCCTACTAGTAAAACTTCATCCTCATACAGTTTACCCACTAGGAGTACAATGTCCATAGAAACTGGTAGATCGTAAAAGAATCTGTTTTACACTTTCAGTTATTCTTTTTTTTGACCAACGTGGATCGGTGGAAGCTTGTGTAGACATTTTCTCAGCAGCAGCGACAAGCCAATAACTTGCAATAAATTTGAGATGTTCCAAAACATTTACGCTCAACTGCATTTGTGTTTAAAGCTACCTTTGGTACAGGGAAAAAAACATGAGATGGAAGAAATCAAATTTTATTTATTGAGACAATTTTGTGATAGAAGATTCAAAAAATTGGTGTTAGAAGGATTAATAATAATAATAATAATAATAATAATAATAATAATAGTGATTAAAATATTATTTATTAATTAATTGTTTTTAAAATGTTACAAAATTTATTTTATTATAATTAAATCACAATTAATATTAATATCTTAAAATAATATATATTTTAACAATTTAATTCCTTGTTATTAAATAATTACTGATACTAATTATTTTCAAATTACATATTTCTTTTAAAACCCTTAACAAAGAATTGAATCATATAATTAATATTACTTTTTAAAATAATACGTTAGTTTAACAGTTTATTTTATTTTAAGTCCTTGTTTGCTAAAACTAATTATCTTCAATATATATTACGATTAATTTCCTAAATAAAGATTCAAATTAATAATAATATTAATTTCCTAGAATAATAGATTAATTTAACAATTGATTTCCTTTCATTTTTCATTACTAAAATATTACTGATTCTAATTACTTTAAAATATTATAAATAATCTCATTACCCTTATACAAAATTAAATCCCAATTAATATCAACATCTTAAAATAATTGATTATTATAACCATTGATTTCCTTGTAACTAAAATATTATTAATACTAACTAATGAATACATCCTCTCTCAATTTTTTTAAATGTATTAACTTTTTTCTCCATTGATTACATATATTTTTTACTTTCACATATTTACTTTTTTTTTAAATATATAAATTATAATAATTATTTTTTAAAAATTATAATACTTTTTTTCTTGCTGATAATACCAAAATCTGGTTACAGAAGAGATTCCAGATTGTCTATAGTTATAAAAATTTTAAATTTTTTTATTCCCCTAACAAATAGTCAAATTATTTATTAATATTAATTGCTTAAAAACACAAAATAATAATAATAAAAAAACCATCATCCTGATGATGAGAAATTAAAATAAGGGATAATAGATACAAATGAAATAAGCATATGCCAAAACATAACTAGTCATTGATATGTGTTTTCCAAAGAGAACTCATGAATACACATTATGAAGGTTATAGGAAAAATTGTGTTGATATAACAGAGTGGAAGATGTTATAGCACAGTGACAATTGCTTAGGAAAAATGTAATGATAAACATCTAACTCTTGGACATTCATTTCATGTACATGTTCTGTCTAACTAGTAACTCATCAACAATTTGCTGGTGTAGCATACTAGAGCATAGCAGGAACACTTTGATGTACTATTTGATCATATGCTGACAAAAATCACAAGTCATCATCACATATATTTACAAGTTATATTTCTCTTCTATTTCCTCTTCGCTTTTAACCCAAATCACCTTTCTAATGTAGTTCCACTCTTTAGAAGGTTAGCTGAAAGATATAGATCGTGCCATTTTTGGAGACAAATTCTAACAGATAAATGACATTGATAATTATTTTGCCTTCATAAAAAAAGGTTGGCAAGAATAGGTTTGTCCATGTAAAGAACACTAGAAAACATGTTTGTTTATCTGATTCTACCACTTTTGTTCTCTATTATGCTCTCGTGCTTTATTACAAAGATCAAGAATTTCACTATTATTAGGATCAAGACAGAGACCTGCTTCACAGTCCCGAACTGCAGAAAAATAATCACTCATTGAGTCATAAAATGCTGCTCGAAGATGTAATAATTGTAAATCTGGCTTAAAATCAATGGCTCTTGAAAGCTCTGCTATTGCCTCAGCTTCCTTGTGATCATCCATCAAAACTGGTACACAAAGTTTTTGAGTTATAAGCTTTGTGAATGCAATAACATAGCACTAACATGTTTCAAAGATTTTGTATGATACATAGTAAAATGAAGGAAAATGATCAAGTACGACTATTTTCATGGAAAACTAAAATATGAGTTTGTGAAGTTGCATTGACAAATTAGTAGAAAAGGTTATTGTCTACATCAACAAAGACTGGACCTTTAAACTTGAATCTAGGAAAATAATACAAACATCATAGTTATAACAAAAGGCCACAAAAAGGGCTTACAAATTACAATCACAGCTACAATTTGTTCCTTTACCATAATGAAAATTCAAGAGGAAACAAATCATGATATATGAGACTCACCTGCTGCCCTATATCTGTAAGGATAAGTCCTGAGAGGATCCAACTGTGATGCCATACTAAGATCACTCTTTGCCATCTCACGATCACAATATTCTGAACGTTTCTCATATGCTGATGCATTACTTCGAGCCTTTTCTATTAGCTTTGTCATCTCATCATATGCTGCTTTGCGATGGTTTTTAAGATGATATACACGTGCCAACCCTTGATGTGCTCGCGTATGCTTGATGTTGAGGGCATTCATGTAGCAGTCAGCGGCAAGGTCTAGTTTGTCACAGTCTACATACACACTCCCTAGATTATTCAGTGCCTACAATTTAAAAGAATGAATATATAAATACATTATACTTCATTAGTTATATCAACATAACACGTTCAATCCAAAGTTTTACACTCACTTGTCCTTTCCGAAGGCCATCTGAAGGGCATCTAAGAGCTTCCTCTAAGAGATGAATCACATACTTAGAAGACTCTGAATCAAGATTTGAGTCAGCCAGTGCATAAGCTTTGAGAAAGTAAGCTTCAAATGATCTTTGAATTGAAATGGATTCCTCAGCCTTTGCTAATGCTTCTTCACGATGACCAGTGTCATACAATATCCATCCTTCATATACAAGTCTTTCATGGTCAGAAGAAGAATGATTTCTAGCCATCCGCAAACTACGCATTGCAGCCTTTGGACAATTCAACCTGCAAGATTAAGGAAAATCAACACTCATGATTGTCAATCTGCAGCATTAAAATTAACTAAGAGTACTGATATTTTGACAACCTTTCATCCATTCAACAACTCAAAATATTAGTATATTAGATATATTTGTAATTAGTATACTAATAAAAAAATGTAAGGATTTTACTAACCGTAACAAAAGGAGAGATTGTCGAAAACGTAGAAGACTTTTTCCCGGATCATTTGCTAACATTTGGTGGACAACAGCCAAGGAACCAATATCATCAACAGAGGACCACCGATCATACAACTGCATCCAACAATCAGCCTGGCACCACTGTTGAACAACAGGACTGAGAAGTTCTACCAAGTGTTCACCATGCATATGCCCATAAAACATCATATAATTTGGATCCAAGGTCAAAATTGCCCGAATATCCCTAAGGGCTCCTTCATAATCCTCCATGGCAATCAAGAACCAAGCTCTCAGTTCAAGGCAATCTGGAGAAACCTTGAAACCGATTACTTTATTGATTTCTGCAATGGCAGGTTCAATCTTATTTTCCTCCAACAAAGAAACAGCTCGAAATTTATAAGGAAAGGAAAGAGTTGGATCTAACTCAGTTGCAGATAGCAAGTCCATTTGTTTCTCCTTCCCAACACAATACAAAGACCTTTCTTGATACATCCAACCAACTGGTTTATGATCAGAAATAAGTGAGTTCATCAATTTATATGCTGAATACGTGTGACCACGCTTATATTTGGCCCTTGCAACTCCCACCAATGAATAAACATGTCCTGCCTCCACTGCTAACTCAAACCAATGTTGTGCATCTTTGTATTCTTTTCTCTCAAGCATAACAACGCCCAATTGGTGAAACGCAATTTGCTTCTCCCAACCATCATTTGCACACTCCACTAACCTCTCCAACAACATCACAGTTGTATTAGATCTCATCTCTTCCTCCATCGCAATCTGACTTAAAAAATAATACAAAACAAATGACGCGTGCCCCGCCATAGCCAGCCTATCCCTGCCCTCTGGACTACAAAATATCTTCATGACACTCGAACTTTGCATTGAACCGGGGAGCTCTCGGAGAAACACCTGCAAGCAAGCTGCCACAAGAAGGTATGCAGTCTCCTCTAATCCATAATCAACAAGCAACAAGGCATCGTCTATGTCACAAACTAGAAATGCCAAATGTGAATCACAAGCATGCTTCATCTCCTCACAACAAAAACGATTCGCCAAAGACAACAACTCCAAAACAACCTTAGGCTCCAAATGGCTCAACCTCTGACTTCTACTAAACTCCTCCGCAGCAGTCAATGCCTCAACAGAAAAACAATTCTGTGAAAAATTAATTTTCTCCCTCCTTGACTCTATGAATTCACCATACAACATTGTCTTAAAGGGCCTTGAAAGTGAGGCTATATTGAACCTCCTACACCTAATTTCATCTTCACCAACAATAAATGACATGTCACCATCCTCTTCCTCCGAAATGGAGCCTTGCTCATCATCAACCTCTAGCGTCATTTCACTATTACCATCATAACTATCATAATCTCTTGCACATGCGCGTGTGCACGCGCAATGATCAAACACTGACTCTGGGTCATAGCCTGGCTCCAGTGAGGCGCGAGGACACTCCAGGTTCCTCCCGCTGCAGTCCATAGAAGACGAGCCGATGAGCTCGTCCTCGCGGCGCTCGTGGCGCAGCCACGCGGCGAGCACAACCTTAACATGCACGTTAGTAGCATGTTGTCGAGCGGCGCGAAGGCTTCGACGGAAGAGCTTCGGGTCTGCTAATCCGCGGAAGATGGTGCATTGCTCAAGGAAGACCTCAGTGCGCTCGAACTGAGGGCGCTCCTCAGCTCGACGATAGACGCTAGCGAGGGTTTCCACGAAGTCGACAGACATGAGGGACGGTTCGATTTTGGGTTCAAGGAGGTCTGTCATGGGGAGACCATAGGGGAGGAGAGATCCATCAGAGAATGAAGCCTCGGAAGGTGGCGTTGAATTCGGAGTTTGGAAGTTCCGATTGGATTTGGTCCTAAGGGTTTGGGCCTTAAAGTGGTCGTGGAGTTGTTGGAAAAGCTTTTCGCCAAGTCCACTGCCGGTGCCGGAGGAGGGATTGATAGCATAGACCTGAGTGCCCCTGCAACCGTCCATGATCTTCATGCTACGCATTGTCTGAAAGATGTTGTGTTGCATTTTTCAAAGAGTTCAACAAATTGTCAAACATAAATTCATAATCTCTAAGGTGGTGGCATTGGATGCATGATATCAAAAACAATATGTCTGGTGTTTTTTCTGGTTGTTTGGGGATTCACACTGCAAGCACCGTTGGTTTGTGGTTTGTGGTTTGGGGGAAAAGGAAACTCGACGGTGATGAAGAGGAATGAATTGGTTGATTTTGAGGATTGTATACGTTGTTTTGAACGATGAGAAGTGTGGTTCGGTTTTGGGTCACCCAGGTTTTTGTTTTCCTTTTCCCCTTCCCCTTTGTTTTGTTCGGGTTTCTTATTTTTGATTTTGCTTTTGGGTTTCCGAGAAAATGGACGCAAAGGAAGAAGCAGAAAATAGGGAAGACAGGAAGGGAATAGGAATGATGGAGGAATGGCCAACTCGGTGTGATTCGGTGGAGATAGAGGTGGCCGTTAAAGCAGTTATGTTTTTCCTCTGTCCTAGGTTTTCTCTCTTTTTTTCTATGTACTTTTGCTGCTATTGTTTTTTATATTCTAAATATATGGATTTGCCACTTTTTTCTGATTCGGGTTTGCTATTTGTACTACGTTTTGATTTGCCTCTAATTTTTATTTTCTTCAATATAGCCAAGTTGAGAAGAAGGATACAAAGAACAAGGGATTTAAATTATTGTACTGTGTTCATATAATGCTCTTAATATATTTTTTTAAATTTAAAAATTAAAAATTTGAGATTACTTAAAAAAACTACAATAAGTTCTTTTTTCAACTAAATTATTATATATAATCTCAAAATCTTTTTTGTCCGTTACGTGAACTTAGACAAACAAGTCCTTGTTAAGAAAAAAAAAAAGTGGGTTCAAAATCATCTAAGACACACAAACTGAATTTCTAGAATTTTTGCAGAAACAATCGCAAAGTAAAAAAAATATTTATCACGTATTTTTAATGAAAACAAAAGCAAAGGGAATTGTTTTGTTCTAGTGGAGATGTAATAAACTATTAAAAGAAAAATAAACAAAATAAGTCAATGGTTTAAAGCAATGACGATGGAAAATGCCAACTGTCACCACCAATTGGGTTTCTAGCTTGAAATTGTATCACTGTAATTTGGACGGAGGCCCAACAACGATTTCAAATATTCAAATGAAAATAAGGGTCCTTCTTTCTTTACTCTACAATTTATTCCTCTACAACTTCATCTCTTCCTTCTCTACACTTTCATAACTCCTTCATCTTCATTTTGCTGTCCTTTCACCTTCATTGAAGATTATTTTCAATCCATAAATTAAAAATTATTAATATTTTGTACCTATTGTAAATAATTATCTCAATATTCATGAAAATTAGACTGAAAGTGTACAAAGAAATTTAGATTGTTCAATCTAAAACGTATTTTTATACTCGAAAGTGAGTTCGAAAATAACTAATTTGTAATGCATTTCTGAAACATCCAATCCAAAAATGCATTTTAGATTAATTATTTTGTGACTCGTAAGAATTTAATACATTTCAAATTAGTTATTTTAAAACTCATTTTGAGATTGAGTATTCTAGAAACGTTTTTTAGATTGATTATTCTAGAAATGAGTTTCAAAATGTATGTCTAGAATAGTCAATTTATAATATATTTCTGGAACATTCTAGAAGAAGATAAATGCAAGAGTTAAATATATGTATATTAATTACGAAGGTGAAAAAGAAATTATGGAGGAAAAAAAAAGCAAAAATAATTTTCAATGTGATCTCACCATTTTTGAGTATTTTACAAATTTAAGAGTTATTTGGAATGAACTAGACAATTTTCACCCAAATCATATCTTTACTTGCAAGATGAAATGTAATTGTCAAGTTCTTTCTATCATAATACAGAGAAAAAGAAAGGATCAGACCATGCAATTTCTTCGCTGATTGAACGATCAATATAATAATATTAAGTCTCATGTTCTATTGATGGAGCCCATTCCCCCAATCACGAAATCTTTTTTCTTTTGTGGTCCAGCAAGAAAGACAATTGTCCATTGGAAATATGATTTTTATGGTCAAAAGCAACAATCATATTATTGTTGCTACTCCTATCACATGTACCTATTGTGGAAAAGGGGGATACACTGAGAATTTTGCTATCATAAAAATGATTTTCCTAATCAAGAAACAAATAACTCCAAAAGTACCGATACAAAGAAAATTTACACTCACTATGAAAGAACTGGGCACACTATTGAGGTATGTTACAAAAAGCATGGATATCTCCCTGGCCATAAATTTTTCAATAGTAAACAAGCTTACAATGTTTTGAGTCAAGAAGATAATACTACTATTAAAGATCAAAAGAACAATGATTCCAAAGATATTCACCTCACACCTCGGTAATACCAAATCTTGGTTGACATTTTCAAAAATATCATCCATAACAATACTCAAGCTCAAATCAATCAAGTTGGATTTGTTTTTATCCACCCACTCAATAGCAGGTAATATCATTCCTACTTATAAAGTTCAGATGTCTAAGAATTAATGGATTTTAGATTCCAGTGTTACTGACCATATTTGTGTTTGCCTTAATGTTTTTCCTTCTTATAAGTATATAATTCCTATAAAGATTAGATTGCCTAATGACAATATGGTTACTACTGAATACAGTGGGAATGTGTTATTCAATAAAAAAATTTATTTTACCAATGTGCTTTATGTGCCACAATTTATTTTCAATCTCATATTTGTATCACAAATTATATTTTCTCTTAATTGTCATCTAATCTTTTGTCGTGATTATTGTGTTATACAAGACAACAATAAGAAAGGGACGAATGATTTAGCTAAAATAAGAGCTGGTCTTTACATATTTGATTTTCTTAAAACAAAGAATATTATACATCATATTTCTTCTTCTTCTTCTAATTGTGCCACTAAAAGCATTAACTTGTCGCATTCGCATGGGGCATCCTTCCCATGACTGATTTGTTGCTTTAGAAACAAAATATCCTTATGTTTTCACTTACTCTTCATATGTTTGTGATATCTGTCACCTTGATAAACAAAAGAAACTCTCTTTTTCTTCTAGTGTTTCTTATAGTAATAAATTTTATGATCTTTTACACATTAATGTTTTAGGTTCGTGTCATGCCATTTCTATGAGAGGTTTTAGGTATTTTCTTACTATTGTAGATGATTTTTTCTCGTTTTACTTTACTTATACCCTTGCCTAATAAATCTACTATTCGAAAAATAGTTGTTACTAATATAGAAAATAAGTTTGATACTAAAATTAAAGTTATTCATACTAATAATGAGGTTGAGTTTCTTATGAATGACTTTTATTCCCTTAAAGGTATTATTCACCAAACCACCTGTGTTGAAACACCTGAACAAAATGGTATTGTAGATAGGAAACACCAACACCTCTTAAGTGTTAGTTCCTTATTGTTTTAATCTAATATTCCCACTATTTTTTGGTGTTTTGTTTCCCAACATGTTGCTTTTCTTATTAATTGCACGCCTACACGTATTTTAAATAATAATACTCCTTACGAAAAAGTTTATGATAATCTTTGTGACATCTCCAATCTTCATGTGTTTTGGTTGCTTGTGTTATTCTAACACTCTTACTGCTAGCAGGAAAAAGCTTGACAACGGAGTTGTCCCTAAAATCTTTCTAGGCTTCAAAACACACATAAAAATGTTACATTTATTTGAATTTACAAAACCATAAAACTGAGGTATCCAAAAATATCTTATTTTATGAAAATCCATTTCCTTATAGGAATGACAAAATCCCTTATCCCAATAGTCTCTCCTTGCCTATACCACATAATTATTTCAAGAACTATGATGATATTAATACTTGCACTTCTCATGATGCACCTACTGATAACATTGATATACCTTTTGTTACCTTTGATAATACTAATGTTGACATACTTCCTAATGAAAATGATAGTGTTGTTCTTAGACGATCTATATGTCCCAGGAAAAACCCTACCTAACTTCAATATTTTCACACGAATGTTGTGATTAAATACCCCTTACAACATTTTGTTTCATACAAACGCTTATCTCCTAACTTCCAACATACTATTATGTCCATATCTTTTTTCACTGAGCCACACAGTTATACTGAAGCCTCAAAGCATCCCTAATGGATTTAAGCTATGCATGAATAGCCGCAGACCTTACACACCAATAACACTTGGACTATCACTAACGTGTTTGTTAAATATAGAGAAAATAGAATTTGGAATTAATTTCCCTTGTGTATAAATCACACATAGGGTGGTCTATTTATAGTAGAGAGATACAACTAAAAGAGTAACTGAAAGTAACAGAATAAACAGAAGATATTGTTTGATATTGTGGTTAACAATATCTTAACAATATCAAATAATATCTAAACAATATCTAACACTCCCCCTCAAGCTGGAGCATACAAATCGTATGTGTCAAGCTTGTTACAAATATAATCAATTCTAGGACTCCGTAAAGATTTAGTAAAAATATCTGCTAACTAATCACTTGAGTTAACAAACTCAGTCTTGATATCTCCAGACATAATCTTTTCTCGAATAAAATGACAGTCAATCTCAATGTGTTTGGTCCTCTCATGAAAGACAGGATTAGAACTAATATGAAGAGCAGCCTGATTGTCACACACAAGTGTCATTTGAGTGACATCTCCAAATTGTAACTCTCTAAGCAATTGCTTGAGCCAAACAAGTTCACAGGAAGCTGAAGCCATAGCTCTATATTCTGCTTCTGCACTGGATCTTGCCACAACACTTTGTTTCTTACTTTTCCATGAGATCAAGTTACCACCAATGGAGACACAATATGCAGATGTAGATCTTCTATCCGAAGGACATCCTGCCCAATCAGCATCTGAGTAGCAAACAACTCTCGTATGGTTATTAGAACCATATAACAATCCTTTTCCAGGAGATCCTTTAATATACTTCAAGATACGAATGACTGCATTCCAATGATCTTCACATGGTGAATTAAGAAATTGACTTACCACACTGACTGCAAAGGAAATGTCAGGACGAATAACTGTAAGATAATTCAATTTTCCAACCAATCTTCTATACTGCTCAGGATCAGATATAGGCTCCCCCTGATTTGGTAGAAGTTTAGTATTGGGATCCATGGGTGTATCAATAGACTTTGAACTCATCAACCCAGTTTCCTCCAAAATATCTACGGCATACTTCCGCTGAGATATAACAATACCATCATTGGACTGTGCCACCTCAATACCCAAGAAATATCTAAGTTTACCAAGATCTTTGGTCTGAAAATGGTGACAGAGATGTTGTTTCAACTGAGAGATGTCATGGTTGTCACTACCTGTAAGAACGATTTCATCAACATATACTATCAAGTAAACACATTCAGCACTCGAGTGTCGATAAAAGACAAAATGATCTGATTCACACCGAGTCATACCAAATTGTTGAACAACCTTGCTAAACTTTCCAAACCAAGCCCTAGGAGACTGTTTTAGGCCATATAGGGATTTGCGAAGAGGACATACCATCCCAGAAGACTCCCCCTGAGCAACAAACCCAGGAGGTTGCTCCATATATATTTCTTCTTGCAAATCACCATTGAGGAAAGCAACAAGCCTGGCTCTGATACCATGTTAAGGTTCCAACATAAAACCAATTGGCAATATGTGGAGTAGCCTAACATGTATTTAAATAATACCAAATGACATGAGGTAGGCGATGTGGGACTTTCAACACACCCCCTCCAACAAAGCTTGCTGGACCAGGCAAATGGTACTTTTGACCCAACTAAAAGGCAACTTTTGGCCCATGACAATAACCGGAAAGATGTTAGGTTTTGGCTCTGATACCATGTTAAATATAGAGAAAATAGAATTTGAAATTAATTTCCCTTGTGTATAAATCACACATAGGGTGGTCTATTTATAGTAGAGAGATACAACTAAAAGAGTAACTAAAAGTAACAGAATAAACAGAAGATATTGTTTGATATTGTGGTTAACAATATCTTAACAATATCAAATAATATCTAAACAATATCTAACAGTGTTGAAAAAAAATCATTGGTTGTCATTGGATCTACAAAATCAAACATAAATCAGATGGTTCAATGGATAGATTTAAAATTCGTCTTGTTACCAAGGGTTACACCCAACTAGAAGGTCTTAATTATCTTAACACTTTTGTTCCAATTTCCAAACTCACCACCCTTCGCCTCTTACTTGTTGTTGTTGCCTCAAATCAATGGATTCTGAAACAGTTGGATGTTAACAACACCTTCCTCCACGGTGATCTTAATGAGGAAGTATATATGAAGCTTCTGCCAGGACTCATTACTTTGGATCCTACAAAAGTCTGTAAACTACAAAGATCTTTATATGATCTTAAACAAGTTGGTCTCCAATGGTGAACCAAGTTTTTTTTTTTCTTACCTCTAAAAATTGCATTTATTTCTTCATCTGATCATTCTCTATTTCTCAAACATGATCATAATCACATAACTGCCATCCTTATTTATGTGGGCAACATTATCTTAACGGGAACTAATGCGGAGAAAATTCAACATATTACGACTGCTTTGGACGATAATTTTCATATAAAAAATTTGGGAAACCTCACTTACTTTCTAGGACTAGAAATAGCTCACAGTTTTGCTGGTATATACCTCAGCCAATACAAATAAACCATAGACCTTCTTCAAGAAACTAGTATGACAAACTGTGTCCCATGCCTACACCCATGGCACACTCTTCACATTCTTCTTCCACCGACAATGCTCCTCTCAATGATGAAGATGTCTCTTCCTACCGTCGTTTAATTGGACATCTTATCTATCTCACCAACACTCAATCAGACATTGCTTTTTTCTATCAATCACTTGAGTTTGTTTGTTTCCTCACCTACATCTACTCACCAACAAGCTACTCATAGGATCACTATCTAAAGGGTACTCCAGGCAATGACATCTTCTTACAGAGTAATACCATACAACAGTTAAAAGCTTATATCGATTCTAATTGGGCTACATGCCCTAATACTTGTAAATCTATCACAGACTTCTCTATTTACTTTAATGATTCTCTAGTTTCTTGGAAATCCAGAAAGCAACAAATTATTTCTCATATATCTTCTAAAGTAGAATATCGTGTTTTAGCCTCCACCACATGTAAAATTCAATGACTTACTTACATCTTTCAAGAGCTTCACATACATTTCATCAAACCTGTTCTTTTATAATGTGACAGTTAGTCAATTATTCATATTATTTATAACCAAGTGTTTCACGAGCATACTAGATATATAGAAATCGATTGTTACATCGCCACAAACTCAATAAAAGCTTAATAAAACTCCTACCTATATCTCCTTTACTCTTCAAGCTATTGGCATATTCACCAAGTCTCTCGCTTCAATCATATTCAAAACTCTTTATTTCAACTTGGGAATGAAGAACATATATTCCCAACTTAAGGGGAATGATAAATTCTTTGTTCTCTATTTTTTTCCTAGGTCCTTTTTTTTTAATTTTTCCTTTTCTGTTTTGCTATTCCCACTTGTTTGTGGTTAGTTTTGAGAGTGACAATATGATTAATTTTGAGGGTGACAGTTGTCCACAACCACCCTATTCTTCTTGCTCTCCATTTTATACATTTTGTTCCTCTTCTCTTATAGATTATCGATTAATTTTAATCAAAATAATATTTTTCTTCATCCCTTATTTAACTTTGCTTTCCGCTTTTTCTTCTTTTCTTTTTATTTTTGTTCTACTACTCTTACTGGTTTTTCATGCTCCTTTTCCTTTTTCCATAGATGAAAATCACAATTGGTAAAACTGGACCTAAACACTGATGTGGGCCAATAATGACAGAATCAAACATCCTTTGTCATTTATAAACTTATTCATGAATATTTATAAAACATTTTACCGATAACGAGAGGATAATATTCTATAAGGTATACATATCACTAAAACTTCTCTCTCTCTCTCTCTCTCTCTCTCTCTCTCTCTCTATATATATATATATATATATATATATATATATTTCTTTATTTTGCATGAGATGATGGTTGCGATCCATCTTTGGAAAATAATAGACGTAAGGAATAAAAAAGGCATATAATAAGCATGCATGATTGAGCAACGTAGAATATTTTATGTTGGTGATGATTCTAATAGTTAAAATAATTCCATTGGTAAATAATTAAGCCATTAATGTAGCAGAAGCCTGGTATAAAACGACAGACATGCTCATTCTCAATTCATAATAATGAAGTTAGATCCGAATATGTAGCCTCATGCACTCCAATGTAGCTTGACGTATTACAATTTTAAATTATAAAACTCAGGAAAAAGGACACACTAGGACTGTTCAGCGTTGACCTAACGTGTTCAACTTGCACTCCACATTTCCCTCAAACCTAAAAAATTGCTTACACCTATACACTTGTTTTCTTTGACTTTTGACTCTACATTAAAAAAAAAGGGTTATATGGTAAGAAGAATTGGTAAGGTTATGATGATAATAAAAAATAATAATAAGGTTTTTTAATGTATTTTCAGTTCATATAAATATGTGAGTTTCAATTTTCAACTTTGAAAATACAATTTATTTTTCAATTCTCCAAATATAAAATTATTGTTTTTAATTCTTAATATGTGATGTGATACATCACTTGCTAGAATACAGATGCATGCCATTGAATTCTTACATGCAAACTAAAAAAAAACATGATTCTCAAAAATGTAGAGAAAAGTAAATCAAGATGAGTAAAATTCGAATTAAATATATAATTTTTTATTTTACTTTTTATCTTTATATATATATAAAAAAAAGTTTGTTTAAAGAGACACATAATGATTAAGCGTAAACTGGATTCCAAGTGATGGAAAATGGTAGAGTTGGAGAACCTACCTCTGCCAAGAGCCACGTGATTGGTCGAAAGTGAAGGAAATTTCCTTTCTGGCCGCACCTTTTTGTTGA